TCTAAGCCCATACCTAGGAAGCATTCATCACAAGTCATCTCACATACCTATCTAACTAACGAATGCATTGAAGAGTACATCATTTATCACACAAACAGAGGAAATAAGGTAGAAGCTGACTAACCTTGATGGAAAAGACTCGCTTGCAGCTTCTAAAACCGTCATTCCTTTTTCCCACCATTTACCCTCACAAAACAAAACAGAAGCGTAAATAAATGCATTTAACTCTATTACCTAACAAAAAAGTAGCATTTAACACAAAGAAGATTGACTCTGCATGCAACCATAAACTAAACAAGCAGTAATGATAATCAAACCATCAAACCAATCATTACAAGAGACTTCTGTTCGTACTAGGTAATAAAAGAAGCTGAACATAAAAAGAACAAGAGACTTATGTTCGTACTAGGGAAAAAAAGAAGATGAACATAAAAAAAGAAGATGAACACAAAAAAAGAAGATCATCAGGAACCGATGTGATGATCAAACTCTGTTTGTACTCAAGATCAAACTCATTCATGATAACATAGTTCAACCAGACATCGCATAACAATTACCCCATATGATGATAAAACCCAAATCATATATAAACCGATAAAAGAGACACAAACAGAGGATGAACATAATCAAACAACTCAGCTTCAACCAACTAGCCTAAACCGATAAAACAGACACAAACAGAGACAAAGAGACACATTTCGATTCACTTAACTAGCCTAATTTGTACCAGATCAAACTTGGAAAAAAAATCTCAAATCGCCAAACCCTAATTTACGAAATCGATTCACCGAAATAGCCTTAAATCGGCTTCAATGACTGTTTCGAACTACCGCACACAGATATTATCTACGAATCGACACATAACTACATCATTTCAACTTTGCAAAAATTTCCCCCAAATTTCGACGAACCCTAATTTACCCTAATCGAATTTCAAACCGTCAATCAGAGGAGTAATCGGATTGTTACCTGGAAAGAGAGATGAACTGGATATCCGCCGAGTTTTACACCATCAGAGCCTGTTTGAACCTCCGATTTGACCTCCGAGAAGCGAAATCGCCGTTGCGATCGAGAGAAAGTAGAGAACTCATTTTTTTTTTTTGTCCGATAAAAGAGAAATGATTTTCTCTCCACATAAAAAATTTATCCGCAAAAAAATTAAACAGCCAATACCCTTCGTCCACGTCACCAACGAGACCGTCTCGTCCGCCTCGTCGCCAAGGATCAATCCGTCGATAATTTTGGGCTTTTCAATTTTTTTTTATCCATTTTCCTTAAGTTTGTGGGCCAAATATGTTTAACGAGCCTCTGATGGAGCTGGTCTTATATCTTCAGTGAGGTTATGTTGCAGCCAAGCTAATACAGATCGACCCACTCGTCTTTGCGTACATTATGAGTCGTATGTCTTACTATATTTTTTGTGGGTATTAGAATTTGATGTTCTGATTAAATCGCGTATAATATCAGTGTTAAACCTAATCCAATAATAGTATTTAGAGAAATTGGGTCATATATATGACTTTAAAAAAAAAAAAAAATTTAAAGTCAATAACCAACCATGCAATCCACAAGTCCTTCATATAATTTAGCTAATTATAACCGCTATGTTAATTTTTAGGGTTAGAATTTCTGACGTTGAATTAAATTTTATGGTTTACTTTTAGGGTTTATAATTTCCAATTTCAGGTTTCAATTTAAAATCTTTATCATTTTTTCTGAAAAAAAAATATATTTTTAGATACTCATTTTCTTAGTTACATATAAAAACAATTCATAATAGCACTAAATAGAATGCTATATTATGTTATATTGATAGATAGAACAATCTAACATTTATTATATCATTTATGTATGATATGTTTTGTTTCAACATATTTTATGTTTTCTGAATAAAATGATGCATTAATCTCACTTAGAAATGCATATCTATATTTCAATAGTTTTGATTTTTTTCTAAAAAAAATATATCTATCACAGTATATGTGAAAAATTATATATTTTGTACGATTGCAAGACTAAATCATTTTTTTAATGATCAAAAAAAAAAAATAATAAGGAAGGGCAGAAAAAAATATTCGTGCACTTTATATGTGTAATGTGTAACACAACTTAATACTTGTTTTTTAAGTTTTGAATCTTTGACAAGTTATTGCTAATTGTCCAAAATGAGAAGCAAAAATAGCCCCTGAATCCTTACTAAATGGGCATTATAAAGAGCTCTAAAAGGAAGGAGGGGACCGAAAAATTATAATGAGTCAGTTAATGAAAAACATGTGAAAGAAATGAAATTGAAACAGAAAAAAGTAGTAAAAAAACCATCAAATACAAGGATTGAGTCCCTTCTCAAAGATTTGACATCAAATACAAAAAAAAAACCATCGATGGACTATTCCATTTTTACGGTTCACCATTTTATGAATTTTGTGTGGGTGTTATTTTTCTTAATTTTGGGCAAAGACTAACCAATATTACACCAAGTCACCAATTCAGTTTAATATTTAATGTCGTAGTAAATGGAAATGACTTTTATTTCTCTAATTAGAACTAAAGTATATGATGTTTTTTTTGGAAAATTGTGAAAAAAATGAACTTAGATAGAAATGTTAAGGACATCCACTCTAATTTATGAATCAAACATTTTTGCTATTATTGGTTGAGTATACGTACTTATATAGAGTTGACACTGGACAAGACTTTATAACAAACAAGTACGATCCATTAATTCATGGATAATAAAATTAGAGTAAATTTGCAACCGTATATATAATTTTTTTTTGTTTGCAAGAGTTTTGTGTGGACAACAAACAATAAAGAGACTTGTCATATGACGCATATTAATAAAATCTCAAGAGAGGACAAAAAAAAACTCTCTAAGCATCAAGTGGTACCCGATGCTGAACAAGCAAAACGTCATTACGTTCATATCATTATATTTGAACGAACTCGATTTTGTTGCTGAAATAGTATGAAATATTGCCAACTTCCCTATTGTTGTAAGTGTTTAACAACAATATTGATTTCAAAATTTTCTTAAGTCATTTAAGCTAAGTGTAATTAACAAGATAACTCAGATACGTCTTCAATTTGTTGTTAAAAAAAAATGGAATATCTTCAACAAACCATTATATTTAATGATCTTCTTGTTTTGCCGATTGTGTTGTATTTCTATAGAAACCATAGGAATATAGGATGTCATGTGTTAATCCTTCAAAGATCGCTGCTATACCATTTAGAGCCATAATAATTTAGCCATTTAGCCTCAGTGAACACAGGTTTCAGGCTTTGTAAACATATACATGTTCTAGAATCTAGTAACCAGACTAATTAAAGTCTCCAATTATGTTGACCAAAAAAATAAAAGTCTCCGATTATAATGGTCGTGTCGAGGAAACCTCAGTTCTTGGTCTTTTAAGAACAAAACAAGAAAGTCAATTTTATTAAGCTAAAACAGCCACGTTACAATCGATCTTTATTACACAACCCTATTCTCCAACCATATATATAAAAGGACCAATAATTTTCGTTTTACTGTTTAGGGTTGAATCTGATAAATATCTATTTTGTCCTTGTGCCAATTTTGATGGATATATAGAGTAATGGCTGTCGGCACATCAAGAGGAGACCACTCTCCAGGGGCCACAGTTCGATATATATATATATATATATATATATATATATATATATTGCTCTCTTTCAAAATATTCATAAAAAAAACACTAGGCTAATGATTTTAATTAAAACGTAAAATTGGTTAATGCACTCAAGAAGAAAAACTAAAATTCCGATCGATTGTGTTTGAGGATGAAAATTTTAATTCATCTAGTTATAATTTTATTTATTCAATTTTAAAGTTCTATATCAACAATTACAGATACTTTTTTTTGTAACAAACAATTACAAATATTTATCAATCTTTAAAACAAAAATATCGAAGTATATGAGAGCATTTTGTGTGTGTATATATATATATATATATATCAGTAAGACAGTAACAAGTTTCATACAAGTATATAACTCATAAATTGTTGTTGTATACCTTGATTAGTGGTTGTTAAATTTATTGGACCTTTATACTTCAGCTAATAAGTTCGGTGAGAATTAACAATTTGGTGATATAGTGTGTTAAACTTAAACATATGCATCAGTTGATCCAGGTTATGGTTCAGAACAATGTTATGAAAAAATTACTGTTATGATTATGTATCTTTTAAATTTCTTATAATGTTTTGATGTCGTCAATATATTATAAAGTTTTCTTGCAGGCAAATATGATATATGTATTCTTGTTCAATAAAAAAATATATCTAATAATATTGCTATGAGAATTTATCGTATCTATTGTTTCAGATATAGTTCAGAACAATGTAATGAAACTTTTACTGTTATTTTTATGTATAGTTTAAAGTTTGTAGTAAAGTTTTTTGTTGTCGTCATTTTATTAAAAAGTTTTTAGCATGCAAAATGAGAATTATCGTATTTTTAATAATATCCACGTAAGATGAGAAACGCAAGGGCTTTCATTTCAGTCAACACTCGCAGACTTTCACTACTATCTAATATCTATAGTTAACTTACCATTGCCTCGACGGACAAGAAATGGGTCCCACTGTCGAGTCTATCAAAGCTTATGTGGCAGAGAACTGCCACATCACGATATGCTGATCTAATCTATTTTGTCGTTTTCTCGCCGCCTAACGTCACTCCCCAAATAGGTTATTGCGCCACGTGGAAATAAAAATCACCCACTTCTTTTTTTTTTCGTCTAGCGATAGATTGTAACGAAATCTTGTTTTTTTCCTTTAATACATTTGAGAAAGACACCAGTTTTTTTGTTGGTCTCCATTCGGTTGTATAAAATAAAATTTATTAGTTTTTTAAGGCAGCCATATTTGTCTATTGGACCTATGAATAGAACAATAAAATATATCCCACTTTCAAATATCTAATAAATTCCGTGTCCCTTATATATATAGGATTCGGGTTTGAATTAAGTTATTGCCCCAACAAAAAGCGATAACAAAGAAGGAAAAAAAAAAGAGAAAAATTGTAAAAAAAAAAAACATGGAATATTCCCAATCTACCATGTATTCTTCTCCGAGTTCTTGGAGCTCATCACAAGAATCATTCTTATGGAACGAGAGTTCAATCTTAGATCAATCATTTGATCATCAGTCCTTTTACCCTAGTTATAATTACTCCGACGACTTTTTCTCCTTTGAGTCATCGGAAATGTTGATCAAAGAAGAGACTCAAAACGGCGACGTTTCTAATTCCGAGGAGGAAGAAAAGGTAGGTTTTATTGATGAAGAGAAGTCATACAGAGGAGTGAGGAAAAGGCCATGGGGAAAGTTTGCAGCAGAGATAAGAGATTCGACTAGGAATGGGATTAGGGTTTGGCTAGGGACGTTTGACAAAGCCGAGGAAGCTGCTCTTGCTTACGATCAAGCAGCTTTTGCCACAAAAGGAGCTCTCGCTGTACTCAATTTTCCCGTGGAAGTGGTAAGAGAATCGCTAAAGCAAATGGATAATGTGAATCTTCATGATGGAGGATCTCCGGTTATGGCCTTGAAGAGAAAACATTCACTTCGAAACCGGCCTAGAGGGAAAAAGCGAGCTTCTTCTTCTTCTTCTTCTTCATCTTCCTCAACTTCTTCTAATTATTCATCTTCATCTTCATCTTCGTCGTCTTCTTCTTCAACATCAAGAAGTAATAAGCAGAGTGTTGTGAAGCAAGAAAGTGGTACACTTGTGGTTTTTGAAGATTTAGGTGCGGAATATTTAGAACAACTTCTTATGAGCTCATGTTGATCTTGTAATTGATTTCAGATATAGCTATTAATTAAACTTTAATTTTGTGATAGTTCTGGAATTTGTTCTTTCATTGTGCAATTTCTTTGGTTCTCTTATTTTTTTCTTTGTTGTATCCAAATGAAATTATTGGAAGAGATGCTATGGTGATGTTGAAATGTATAAAACAAACTCTATTATTGCGTTATATCGCTGGAAAGTGTCTGTGTCCACCCTAATTGCTTTAATGTTTTTTTTTTGTACTTTAATAAAACAAAAACAAAAATATTTACTTGGATAAAAGATATTAGAGTATAAAAATATTTATATCAAATGAATCATTCCTATTAGTCTAAATCTTAAAATGTATCAAGTTGACCCAAGCTATAAAGGTAAAGCCATATATTAGAGTATATAACAAAATTCAACCAAAAAAAAGTTGATAAGATAACTATAAAGTTTTTTTTTATTTGTAGGGTAATTCGATTAGATCTATAAAGGTACATCCTATTATATTGTGTAAAAGCTGTATCATAATATATATGCTCTAATACATTATGACGTTCATATTATATCGTCTGAAAACATCGTTGATGATGGTTTCGTTATCATTACTGTTAATCTCATTATTAATTGGTTGTTTGACTTCCTTTGGTAATGTTTCTTGTTGAAACATTTTTATTAACCCAACAAAGCAAAGATTCACCAGGAACGTTAAAAATCTAGATAAAAGATTGAGATTTTGTTAGATGACATAAATGTTTTTCAAAAGATATGCATCAGATGAAACGAGTTTGACTGAGTAAACGAATATCATAGTTTTGAATTTCACGTTAACTGTGTATGTATTGAATCAAGTATTGATCGTGCAATGTCATTCCGAAAATGGGTGTGACACTCGGTTAAGCAATTTGTATCACCAAACAAAATTGAGATATTCAACATTGTACTTTTTAAGGTTTTCTATATTCATATGAACCAAAACTACAATGAAAATGATATGAATTAGAAATTTAATGTCTTTTTAGGGATTTAGTTCTTATTATTTTGTTAGAAGACGAAAAACTAAACTTAAAAAAAAAAATGAAAATATGAAAGTGAACCAAACTGATTGGAAACGATTTCTTTTTGATGCGGCTTTTTTTGGCTAGCCAATATATATGAACCAGTATCTTTTAAAGCTTAATCTTCGTTTAGAGTGAAATATTGGAGTGAAATTTTTTTAAAACAGTCAGCCTTTTAAACTTAAAACAACGTGGAATGAATGATAATGAAAAACCATTGAAATAAACATTTTTTTGGGGTTAAATGTTAAGATTTTATACCAAAAACCAGGGGATACTATCTACTACTACTACTATTTACAATCTTACATAGCTTACCTACTAACCCAATAATGGAATCCGAGCAAGTTCGAAAATATTCATAACGGATGAGAGATACAATGAGAGATATAACCCATTGAAATAAACTTTGTAAGTCATTAATTTATCTAGAAGAATGGAGAAGATCAGCATGTTTTCAGACTAATTCTTTATCACGTACGATCAACTCCCACAATTCATTTGAAAGATGTGACAATATCCACCTTATGACCTTCGATACAAGACATTAGGCCTACAAGACATAACTACATAAGCCAAATTAAGGCTTTAAATATATTGATCGTTCATATGATCTCGAAAAGAGTGTCAAACTCGGTTTAACAAATTGTAGTTCAAATCAGCTAGCCAAATCTAAATTGATAATAAAATCAAATAGTTTTTTTTTTATTGAAAATTGTTTAAGTTTACTATATTTCATCCAACTGACGGAAAAAAATAAATTAATATTTGAAATTGTTTTATGTTTTGAACGGCCGGTGAGACGATAATATATTTTATTTGTTTCATAAAATAAGATGTTTAACATTTTCGCACAACTATTTTTTCTCGTATCACCTATAATAAAAGTTAAAATAAAAAGTAACTAATAGGAATACAACACAAAATGATATACAATAGAAATATCATTTTTCTTTTAAAAAAATTTTTTTCCATTCTGTAAAATATTTAAAAATAAGAAATGGAGAAAGCACACAATAGGATTGAAATATATACTGTACATTTGCACTGGCACACCATATACTGTACTATATACATTTTCTTTTGGAATGGTACAATTTAAAAATATATACAAACAATTATTTTTTATTCAAACAAAAAATATATGTGAATCTGTTTGAAATAAGTAATGGCTGAACGAATACTTGACAACGAGAAAAAGACAAAGGGAGCTGGGAACAAAAACATACCCAAAGATCTAAAAGAAAGCGTGACCAATTGATAATTTATAACTTACTTACAATCAAAATACAAGAGTTTTAGTGAATCCGGTTTGAACCGGTCCGATAAAGTTGAACAGCAATCCAAAAATCTCCGCTTACGCGGCCTTGGTTTAAGAGTTGCAACTTGCAAGATACAAAAAGCCCCAAGTCAAAGAGACAATTTCACTCTAAAGCTTACCACTGTAAGCAACATTTTCTTTCTCTTTTTTTTTTTTTTGGTCAAAGGAACATTTTCTTTTCTCGTGGTTAATACTTAAAGCCCAGGCCCAATATCATACAAATGCTAATGAGTCCAAAACAGCGTCCCTTCATAATTCCCTTGCAAACACACAGATAATGCCATCTTAGTAGTATTAGCTTCGGCTCAGGACACTATCATCTCATTATGTCCATAACGGCAATATTAACCTATGTTTCAAGGTTTAGGTCTGTTTTGCAGATTTTAATATTCATTTGCGTTTTCCCGGATCGAGAGTTTCAACATAATAGCAAGAGAAGTCGACGAAAACTCAAAACAGATTAAATGATCCAGAAAAGCTGAAATCCATAAAGCTAGAAATATATAGAGTAAGACAAAATCAAGACGAAAAAGCCTCAGCTCTAGCTCTAACTCTAGCTACATAACTTGAAAAATTACCAAAGTGATTAATAACTAATCAGTCATTTAGGGGGATAAAACAAAGTTATTAAAAAGACTTGTTGCTCAGTAGCCGTTGATGGGAACAGCTTCCATGTACTGTTTCTCCACAACCTCCATCACTGTGTCTGCAATTCCACTTGCATACACACAAGATCCTTCACAAATCTGCTCCAAATCAAATTGACAAAAGATAAGTTTGATTTGGATTTGGTAGCTTAAACAGGATTGAGGTACTGAGCTTTTCTATTACCTTAGTGTTGAACAAGAAGCTGTAATGCTCACCAATCTGTCCTCCTGCAACATGGTGGAGATCAAGCTGAAGCTGATCAAGAACTCTGGTTGTGAACAACAAACAGTTAACTTTCTTCTTCTGGACAAGCTTGATGGTTACTTCGTCGTCGATTATGCGTACATCGACCTCTGTGACTTTCGATTTCCTCTTCAGCCAAGAACATCTCAGTGAGTTGTTGTTGCTCTTCTTGTTGAAGCAAGATTGGTCCACTTCGCTCTGTGGTCTGTAACTCACAGTATCTTCTTCTTGTTCTTGATCTTCTTCTCCACCAGTTCTAGCTTTCTTCTTGCTCCTGAATTTCCCAATTTTTTTCTTCTCAACAAGCATCTTAAACTCCTCTATTGTCCTCAACAGCTCTTTGATGTAATCTATTGCCTCTCCAACAATCGATGCTCTATCATTCTATCAAACCAAAGGAAAAAGCAAACAATGTCTCTCTCATAGTGTCATACACATGAACAATGTAGTATAGTAAAGTAAAGTCAAGAAAGTAAAACCTTTGTTGGGTTTGGAATGAGATTCTTGAGGTCGAAGAAGCGATCATTGAAGTGAACTCTTCTTTCACGTTCTGTAGGGAAAGTTCTCGACTTTCCTGATCCTCTTCCTTTACGGTTACCTCCACTGTTAAACTCGAAAACCCCATTGTCAAATCCTCCATGATTGTTGTTGTTGTTGTTGTCGTCATTGTTGTTGTAATACATCATATTGATCCCTTCTCCATTAGCATCCATGTGAATATGATCTTCAGCTCCTAGTAGACAAGAACCGTTTCTTTGCTGGCTCTGGTCTCGAGGCTGCAGAGGAAAATTCAGATGGAAGAGCGGGTCGTACATGACAGCAGCAGCAGAGGAAGAAGACATAATGTCCGGAAACGAGATTGATGAGTTAGGAAGCATAGAGTGAGAAGGAGGAGGCAATGAACATCTAGGCAAGTGCAAGAGACTTAGCAAATCAGGAGTTGTTGCAGAGTTTGGACCCATATTGACGAAATCTTGATAACCATTATTATCCCAATTAGAGTGTTGTTGTTGTTGTTGTTGATCATGAGCCATTTGGTTAATCAAATTGATGTTGATTTGGAACTGGTGATCAGGAGGAGGAGGAAACTGGAGAGGTGTTGAAGAAGCTTGAGGACAGTCTTGTGGGCTGAGATGGAATTCAGAGAGATCTTCCACTTCCACGCTGCAGTTGCTGTTGCTCGTACTTCCGGCGACAAGAATTTGTGACGGTGGTGGTGGTGGTGGTCCGGCATGAGAGAAGCCGTTCTCCGCCGTAACTTCTGCCGGAGTGTTGGGATCGAAACAACCCATCTCCTCGTAAATGCTTCCTCTTTCTACTTGGTTTATAGCAAACAAAAGTTTTGATCTTTAAGTACCAAAAAGAAAAGGAAGCAAATTTTCTATGAGAAAATTAGAAAAAACCTTCCATGAAGATGGTTCAACGACTTTGGATGATTCCTTTTAACACCTGCAAATCAACAATAACATTCAACCATTTAGATAAACAAAAAGATAAAGAGAGAAAATGTTGGAAAACCCAGAAATTTGAACCTAATTTCAAACAAATTGGCTCTTTTGTAATCTTAGAAACAAAAATCTAAGTTTTAGATTCTCTTAAGGAGGACTATGAAAAAGTTATCTGAATCCAAAAGATTAAGAAATGGGTTTGGGGTTTGAGTTTGAAAATAAACAGAGAAGCTGTAAACGATAATAAACAGAAAGAGAGAAAAGATAAAAAAGAGTAATCAGAGCTCGAAATTTTAAAACCTCGCAACGATAAGTTTTTCTGTATAATTTTTCAAATACAAGACTCTTCCTCACTGTGTTTCAAATAGACGGACATTTGCAGACGGAGACAACCAATAGAAAGAAGGGTAAAAAAGGATAATTTTTTTTAACTATTGGATTAAAAATGTTGCACTGTATCTAGTTATGATTCTAAACCCAAAATTTGATGCATAAGTTGTTGAATATTTTGTCGAAAAAAATATTCAACAAAATGTTGTACTCTATATAGTATATAGATATGATTCTAAACCCAAAATTTGATGCATAAGTTGTTGAATATTTTATGGAAAACAAAAACTTGTTGAATATTTTTTTCGACTGTATAAATATCTAGAACAATTCAACTAATCAAACTAGTAATATTGAGTTTATATAAATAACATTTCAAGGATAGATGAATACTTTAATTGTTTAATATCTCTAAATCGTATATTGTTAATGCGATTAAGCTTCCACAGCTGTGAAAAAAAAAATTATATAGCATTGCAATTTTTTACCGTCATAAAAGTTCCATTTAGTAAATAACTAAATAGTATTGTTTTGTTTTTTTTGGGGGGTGTTTTGGTTGGAGCATGTGATTTCTCATTGTGACCAAACATGAATGTTGTTGGGTTACAAGGATCAAACAGATGGGTCCCATGTGCGGAATCTCTCAGTCTTTGCAACGACTGAGCTGAAGGGGCATTTCCGTTATTGTCATCAAAATGTGATCTTCTCTGAGGAAAGACGGCCCCACATTTTTGCCTATGGGAGACTTCACCAACTAGCAACTATCCTCTTAGCCCAGTTTGTCCTTTCCCTTTTTACCCTTTTTCTGTCTTTTATTTATATAATTGTATAAACTTGGATATCAAAAGAAAACGCTAACAAACTAGGGCAATTTACAGTAGCTAATCATGATTAAAATTGTTTTCCGAGGCTAACTAACTATTTTGAGCAAAACAATTTTGATCAATTAACCCTTTCCCAAAAAAAAAAAAAAACACAAATTTGATAGATTAATTTTATATTTGACAAAATATTATAAGTTTCCTCCTCTTGCGGTTAGGTCATGCGATATCTGTTTGTAGCAAAGAGAGTATGGTTGTTTGGGAAGATGCACAGGTAGGTCCCACATCCAAGAAGGTGATAATTATATTTCCATATTTACTTGATTTTAGAGTTAATCTCGTAATTTGACAGAAACTGAATGTTTTAGGTCAACTACCTTTCTCTCTCGTACACTACCAGTCTACCACTGTCCCTATCCTAAAAGTGTTGTGCCAGACCATAAATTTGCCAGACGATCTGGTTTAGTTTATGTTTAAGAGCATGTCGGATTTTGAAAACTCTAAAGTCGGTTCGATCCATATACGACCAAAAAATTTTTTTTTGAAGGGATTATAGTCAATTAATCAAATCATATCATTTTTTACGGTTAACAGCTAGATGATTTGTAATTTTCTGTTGAGTACAACAAGATTGAACCATAACTCTAAGAAGTCAAATCAAATTTGAACCATAACTGGTTCTGCCAAAACCAGACCAAACCATTACGATATCCCGCAAAAGAAAAAGAATGAGGCATATCTATTTTGGTTTTTTAGCATTACTTGATTAGACAACCTATAAAAATTATGGAGCATGACTACCTGCTTCATCACCATATTCTTCTTTTCTTTGAATGTATAAGTATTCCTTTTTTTCCAATAATTAGAAGGTTTAGGAGAAGAAATGGTATTTACATATTGTGCTTGTTTCAACAGAAAAATACCCAAAGATTTATTGTCCTTAGCCAAAAAAAAAAAAAAAAAAAGAAATAAAGAAACGTACTGTTTACCTCATCATTTTTTTTCATATATATATATATATATATATGAAGATCACATGCTTAACGAAGATATTGATGAATCTCACATATGTTTTAACCGGAAGAGACCATAATTAAACTATATATTATTTCCGCTCTAAGTAAGTTTTATCTAGTCTTGCAAATGAGTAAACATGGATTAACAACATAACATATAAGAAGTTAGCCTAATATTTATTAGGAAGAGCAACCATATAGTGTTTATCCACAGCTTCAATCACTCTGTTTGCAATAGCACTTGCGGAAATTGTTGATCCTTCATGTATCTGCATTTTGCTTAATAATTATTGTCGACTATATATTTCAAACCAGTATAATCAGGATTGGTATATATTCATCGATCACTAACCTTGGTTTTGAGCAAGAAACTGTAATGCTCACCAATCTGTCCTCCAGCGACATAAAGAAGATCGAGATGAAGCTGATCAAGCACTTTGGAGACAACCAACAAACAATTGATCTTCTTTTTCTGAACAACTTTGATTGTTGCTTCATCATCAAGAATCATAACGTCAACTTCTGTTACTTCTGATTTCCTCTGTAGCCATGAACATCTCAGCGAGTTGTGGCTTGAACACTGGTCTATTACATCACTCTCTGGCTTCTTCTCCATGTTTTCATTACCATCATCGTCATTAAGATGATCATTCGAGTTGTTGTTGTTGTTGTTGTCTAATGCATTATTGTTTATGTGTCTCCCACTACATCTTTTCCTCTCAACCAAATACTTAAGCTCGCTTACTAGTCTCCGCAACTCGATGATGTAATCGATTCCATTTTGAAGAATGGATACTCTATCTCCCTAATAACAGATTATATAAATTAAGCAAGAGGCATTGGAGAGAATGAACGAAAGCAAAATAAATCAAGAAAGTTATTTGCCATTAGTCATAACTAACCTTACTCGGGCTAGGAATGAGCATTTTCAAGGCATGGAACCTCTCAATCAAGTGAGATCCTTTCTCACGCTCTGTGGTAAAAGATTTGTAACTTTGTTTCCCTCTTCCTCCACGCCTAATCTCTTGGCTAAAGTCGATGATCCCGCTATCCAGTTGAGCATTGTGTGTTTTGGATCTTCGATGGTCAGTAAAAAAGGAAGCAAATTTCATAAGAAAGTTAGGAAAACCCTCCATGAAGATGGTTCAACGACTCTAGGTGTGATTCTTTAACACCTGCAAATCAACAGTAACATTCAACCACATTTAGAGAGAAAAGTAAAAAAAAAAAGAATAAAATTTGGAAAACCCATAAATACGAACCTAATTTCAAAAGAGTTTGCATTTTTATAATCTTAAAAACAAAAACCTAAGTTTTAGATTCTCTTAAGGAGGGAAGTTTGCTTTATGAAAAAGTTATTAGAATCCAAAAGATTAAGAAATGGGTTTAGGGTTTGAGTTTGACAGTAAACAGAGAAGTTGTAATCTACAATAAACAGAAAGAGAGAAAAGATAAAAGAGTAATCTGAGCTCGAAATTTTGAACCTCGCAACGATTAGCTCTTCTTGATAATTTCAAATACAGGTCTCTCTCTTAGACTCTCCCTCGCTGTGTTTCAAATATACGAGACAATTAATGGAAAGACGGATAAAAAGGATATATATTTTTTTTAACTATTGGAATAATAAGAAGGGAAAAATAAAATGTTGTATGTAGCTATGATTCTTTTTTTTTTTTTGGAACGTCATATATAGCTATGATTCTAATCCCAGAATTTGATGGATAAGTTGTTAAATATCTCTAAATTGCATAGTTGTTCACTTGTTAATGCTTAAGCTTAAACAGCTGTAAAAAAAAATAGCAATGTTTTTTTTTTTTACCGTTTTGACCAAACATGAATGTTGGTTACAAGGATCAATAATATAAAATCAAACAAAATATATAATTTTTTTTGTTAACTGTGGGCATCCCAAAAACTGTCTAAGCTCAAAGACTAATCCCATGAAACCTTGTATTTGGGTACATGTTTGAAAATATTCTAAATTTAAAGCATAGTTAGGTGGTTAAGAGAACTCAAACCCAAGAATCTTCCACTTAGAAGTTACCACTGAACTAAGATAACTTAGTTTATCAAAAAAAATATTTGCAACGACTAATGTGATATTTCTGTCATTCTTAATCTTTTGGATTCGAATAACCTTTTGAAATCGAATAACTTACTAATGTGATTAAGCTTAAACAGCTGTAAAAAAAAATAGCAAAGCATTTTCTTGTTAAGATATTTGCCATAAGTCATGAATAACCTTGCTACAGTAGCTGATCAGTGAGTGATCATCATAAAAGTTGTAATGAGAATACTCAACCTTGATTATTTAAATTATATGTAAAAACCATTCAACCAATAGTTTGATTTATATACTTATAAAACACTTCCAATAAAGATAGGTTGCTTCTCATATCGACCAAATTAATCCACTTCTCTTTATAGTATGTAATCAATAACATAAAATCAAACAAATTAAATTAGGCATCAGATGCCATCAGAAACCCTTTTTTTAATACAAACAGATACTTGAAGGAAGTATAATAGAGAATCTAGTGAAATAATATGGACTGTTTTGAAGATAATTAATTCAGCTTTAATTTGATCAATATCTTGTCTGTATAATTTTCAATCTATTTTATTGGTGTAAACTTTTCTTTTGAATAAAAATTGCTGTAAGCTTTGAAGCCTATGATATTAATTACTGCCAAAAAATTGTTTTCCGAGGCTAACCAACTATTCTGATCAATTAACCATTTTCTATTAAAAAAAAAAAAGCATTTTGATCGATTAATTTTATAATTGACAAAATATCATAAGTTTCCTCTTGCGGTTAAGTCATGCCATATCTGTTTGTAGCAAAGAGAGTATGGTTGTTTGAGAAGAAGCAGAGGTGGGTCCCACATCCAAGAAGGTACTGATAACTATCTTTCCATATTTATTTGATTATAGTGTTCATTTCACAGTAATTGAATATTTTTGGTCAACTACCTCTCTCGTACACTAGCACTGTCCTACATTCCTAAATCCTAACTATACGACCTTTGACTACTTCAAAAATGTTGTGCCAGAGCCAGACCATTAGTTTGCCAGACGATCTGGTTTAGTTTTTGTTAAGAGCATGCCGGATTTTGAAAACTCTAATGTCGGTTCGATCCATATATGGCATTTCCATGTTATGCTTGTTTTAACAGAAATTTTCCAACGATTTATCGTCATATATATTGTCTACCACATCTTTTTGAGTTTTTTTTCTTATATTTATGTATATGGATCTTTAACAACAAAAAAAAAGTTATATTGATGAATCACACATAGGTTTTATTGCTTTAACCGAATCAGACCATATTAACATATATATTTGGCTCCAAGTAAGTTTTATTTAGTCTTGCAAATGAGTAGAACATATATACTCTGATTGGTATTGTACTTATCTTGTTTATCCTTCACATATCTGAATATACATAATATGTACCTTGATATATATTTATATATATGTTCATCGATTACTGACCATGGTCTTGAAAGAGCATGGTAAAGTGGTAGATCCCACATCCTGAAAATATATTTGATATTTGTAAAATAATTAGGGGTACTATCGTAATCTGAAAAATTTCTGGTCACCTACCTCTCTCGTACACTGCCACAGTCCTCATCCCAAATCCTAACCGTACAAAATTTGATTATTTTAAAATCGGATTTGCTTAAATTTTCTAAAAACTAGAGGCCATTTCTATTTAAAACACAACGGTTAAAATGTTGTGCGGCGAGCTAAAAACTGACAATTTTAATGCCGGTTCGGTCCATATAGGAACCAAATAACATTTAAATTAAATTACATTTAGGAAGGAATTTACATTTAAATTAAATTATATCATTCATATCATGTTTAACAGTTAACATGCTAAATGGTTTTGTAGATACACGGGACTATACCGTACATAATACTCTGAGAAGTCAAATCTAATTCGAACCAGAATCAGTTCTGCAAAAACCCGACCAAACCATTACAACAAGAATGAAAACATATCAACTATTTGGGATTGTTAAGACCTATAAAAAGATAGAGCATGACGATCAACTTCATCATCAATACTTCTTTTCTCTAAATCATTCAGTTTTCGAGTAATAAGAATGGTTTTAGAGAATATCCAAACTATATAACCTAAACTTGGCTCCAAAACAAGTTTTTTTTTTTTTTTTTAATTTAGTCTTGCAAATAAGTAACCATGGTAATCTTCAAAAAAAAAAAAAAGTAAACATGGACTAAAAAGGTCAGAGAATAGTTGAGATTGTCCTAATTAATAGTTATTGATGGGAAGAGCAGCCATGTAGTGTTTATCCACAACTTCAATCACTCTGTTTGCAATTGCACTTGCGTATATTGTTGATCCTTCATATATCTGCATTTTGCTCAATCATTATAGTCCAGTATATATTTCAAAACCAGTATAATCAGGATTGGTATATATTCATCGATCACTAACCTTGGTGTTGAGCAAGAAACTGTAGTGTTCACCAATCTGTCCTCCAGCGACATGGTGAAGATCAAGATGAAGCTGATCAAGCACTTTGGAGACAACCAACAAGCAATTGATCTTCATTTTCTGAACAACTTTGATTGTTACTTCATCATCAACAATCCTAACGTCAACTTCTGTTACTTTTGATTTCATCTGCAGCCATGAACATCTCAGCGAGTTGTTGCTTGAACATTGGTCTATTACATCACTCTCTGGCTTCTTCTCCATGTTTTCATCATCATCATCATCCTCATTAATACGATCATCCAAATTGTTATTGTTGTCTACTGCATTATTGTTCTTGCGTCTCCCACCACATCTTTTCCTCTCAACCAAATACTTAAGCTCGCTTACTCTTCTGCGTAACTCGTTAATGTAATCGATTCCATCTTGAAGAATGGATGCTCTATCTCCCTAATAACAGATTATATGAATACTTAAGCAAGAGAGGGCATTGGGGAGAATAAATTAATCAAGAAAAGATATTTGCCATAAGTCATAATAACTAACCTTACTCGGGCTAGGAATAAGCATCTTCAAGGCCTCATACCTCTCATTCAAGTGACATCTTCGCTCACGCTCAGTGGTAAAAGGTTTGTTCTTTTGTTTCCCTCTTCTTTTACGCCTAATCTCTTTGCTAAACTCAATGATTCCGCTATCGAATCCAGCATTATCATTCTCATCTCCAACATTTACCTGATCTCTTTGACTAGTATTGGTAAGATCAGTGCCAAGCAAGAACCCTGAGTAGTCATTAACAGGCATCAATGGAGGCTGTGGAGGAAGGTTTAAGTGGAAGAGAGGGTCATATGTGAAGCAAGAACCGGACATTATATCAGAAAGGTTCGAGCTTGGTAATGAAACTGAGCATCTAGGCAAATGCAAGAGGCTTAGAAGATCAGGGATTGGAGTTGTTGTTGTGTTTGGATCTGATGTGTTCATGAAGAATCCAGAGTTGTCTCCAGAGACAGCCCAATTTGACTCGTGAATCATTTGGTGGATCAGATGGTTGTTGTTGTCGTTGTTGTTGCTGATTTGGTTATGAGTTTCTGAGTTTGGAAAAGAGACAACAGAAGGGAAAACAGAGAATTCCTCCATTGTTGGGAGCTTAAGGTCGTCGTTGAAGCTGTTTGTTGAGCTTCCGGCGACTAAGAGCGGTTGTTGGAACTGGTGGCTAACCGGAAAAGCTGTTTCCATCGCCGGAGACTCGCAGAAATCGCCGTTGTTGTCGACGATTGATTCCACCGTTGGATTATGATCAAAACATGAACTTTCCTGATACATTCTCAACCGATTTTTCTGCAGCAAACAAAAAAATCCCCAAAAAGGTAATTAATTTCCACTACACTGATCTTCAAGACAAAAGCCAATGAATTTCTCAAATTATCATTAATTAAGACCTATAAAAGAAAGAAATTTGCATAACCTCCATACCTAATCTCAAACTAATTCCCTTCACACTCTGTTTCACTTCTTTTAGGTGTTTTTTTCTTCATTTGGGTTTCTATTGATCTTTGGTTCTGATTGTAAAAATAAAGTTCTCTTCTTGCTTTTGTGTTTGATATCTTCTCTTATCTCACATTTTTCTTTTTGACTCAATCTCAGAGTTGACACATACATACACATTCAAAATGTATTAGAGAATGAAATATTCTTCATTACCAGAGTTAGAAGATGATGATCTTTTCCTTCTTCGTCGTCCTTGAAAACCTTAAGATTTCACGGACTATTCCATAAATTTCTGCTTCACACCTTCTAAGATTCTTTTAAGATTTGGAACTAAAATAAATTTTTCTTTTTGGTTAGCTTTATTTCTGTTTGATGGGGTTAGGATGTGTTTGTATCTTTTGGAGTCTTTCTTGTTCCCAGAAGAGTGAGTTTTTTGGACGTGTTCGTATTGTTTTAGACAGCTTTAGACTATATACTTTGAAGACAGAGGAAACATTTTTTCAGCTCTTTTTTTTGTTTTCCTTTTAACATAAACAAAATTATCAAATGAGCAAAAACTAAGGTTCCAATCTTTATTTTACAAATAAAGCTCCAACCTTATTATAACTTACAAAATTTATTAAGATAAGAAAACATTGGAGAACAGTAAAAAAAACATCTGGTGTGTGTTTTATAATCTTCAACACAAACACGCTTTTAAATTTATCTCCGATTTATGACACGAAAGTAAATTTATTTCTTTTGCACTGTAAGATGGATTAAGAAAAAAACAAGTTTGGTTAAGGAATTTGTGCCACTGATACATACTGTTCCCCGATGTCAAACAAATAATGAATAAATGATGATAGTGTGGTAATTGTAAATTGTAGGAGTACATATTAAAAAAAAAAAAAAGCATTTGACGATAAACATAGAATAATTAAAATTAATGAACATATTAATCAGAGAGATCAGTTGGGTCATGCAATCTCCCTTTTTAGCCACAACGGCAATGGACCCCACTCGGAATCTCCTTTTTCCTTAATTTTTTCTTCTAAGACCGTCAAGGGTAGTTATGTCATTTTGATTATTCCTCTTTTTATTTTTCACTTCCACACTGTAGCATTCATATGTATAAAAACCTATACCAAAATAATTGAACGCCTAACCGGATACATTGTAGGATTGCGGTTCAACTTAAACCAGCTGGATCGTAAGATGATTAAAAAAAATGGAATAGATAGTTGACTAATGTTGACAAAATTCGGCAAAACCTGTTGTGCTAGGATCAACCGGTATCTGATTCATGGGGATTTTCGGTGGATTTAACGGGAGTTTATTTATCCGGTCGAAACACTTTCGGTTCCCGGTTGGACCCGGTCCGGAAATAACATCACTACAAGCCTGCATCAACCTAAAGACAATCTTAAGCTTTTGCAGTTTAAGTTAAGCCTGAGGTTTTGACTTTTTAGATGTGCAATCTGAAACATCAACTGAGATTTATACAGTTGTCATGAAACATGAAACTGTGTTTACACAAATCCATCAACGAGAATACGAAAAATCCAATGTCACCGAAATGATTGATTATTCATTACATTTACCATAAGTTTCCAGGTAGGGACAACTTTTTTCCTCTCAGTTTGCTCGTTCGCGTAGGACTTCAAGATCAACCTCTGTAGGATCAGTAGCTTGAATCTCATAGTGAATCCCTTGAAGCTCCCTCCTAAACCTGTCTTTTGAAGTCGCGTAAAGCATCTTTGCCCTTATTCTAGATGTCGAAGGAGACCTACAAAACATTAGTCCCGATTCAGAATGTTTTCATCAAGCTTTAAACTTTTGCTTATGGAAAAGATCAAACTGTTTCAACTAAACTAACCAAGCGACGAAGAAGATTTTGCTCTTTTGGCAATTCTCAGATGTAACGAAATCAAAGTCATAAACAGCGTATCTGCAGTCATTGTCGGGGAGAGAAGCTAAGAAATCGTCGTAGCTCTCTGCAGGATTCCCGGTTTTCTCAACCACCACTTCTTTTTTGGCTTCATCGATCTTGAAGACGACGTATCGATGAGTCTTCTTCCTCTGCAGCTCATGATATGTGGTTTTGCTCTGATCTGCAACACCCATTCCGGATGTTGCATTTGGCTATTGAGATAGATTAAAAACAAAAAAAAAAATTTACAATCCATACCAAAGATTCGATTTTTAAGTATATAATCATCGAGATTCAGTGTTACTTAGGTTCTTCAATTATATATGATGATCCAAGACCAAAAAGGAGGGAAAATCGCAATCCGCTAGGGTTTTTTACACATCGACTCCAACAAAACAAAACTTTGACATTTCTCACAAACGAAATCAAAGATCCAAAGAGCGCATGCGACTTAGAATCTCCCCAAACTAAAACAAAATCTACGGAGAATTTTATAGGGAAAAATCATGGGTATAATGCAGAGATAGAGGAGTAAAAGGGACCTTTTTTTTGTATTTACCTTGCTAAGTCCTCTGAAAGCCATGGATTGATTCTGCTTTCTTCAGACAAGAATTGATTTTTTTTTTTTTGAAGAGATTTAGAGCGTGAGAGACGTAGACGACACGAATTTATAAATATAAAAGAAAACTTATATAAAAGGAGATTGGATGCGTCGCTTCGCTCTTCGTGCACACTTTTGTTTACTAATTAGTTTTGAAAATATTTTTGGGGTGTATTATGGAAGAAAGGAAAAGAAGTGGACGGTGGCGTTAGAGCAACGCGAGTCACTTGACCCCATTTCATTTTTGGACGTATTTGTTGTTATTCTTCGACCCATAACTGGTCGCCGCGTATCTATTATTTTTTGGGCCTGTTATAAGCCCAATATTATCTAGCAAGCAAAATCCTTTATGAATCCGAATTATTTAAAACGACGGCGTTCTAAGGATCATCTCTTTAATTTTGTTTTGACGGCTCTAACGCTAACACAGTTGCGGCGGTTCACTCGAGCTCCGGCGACTCCGACGTTCGATACTTGCCTGTGCAGTCGTCTCTCTCAAAGATGCAATTTCTGGTCGGATTCCATATTTCACCCTTTTCTGTAAGTAATCATTTATACAATTCTCTAAATTAATCGAGTGATTTTGGTAAATTGGTGAACGAAACAGGAGAAGGTGAAGATGATAAAGAAGGAAGAGCCAGTAATGGCGAAGAATCCAGAAGATGTTCCTGTTTACTGGTTCGAGACTTCCGATACTGTCTCTCACCGTTTTCAGTTCGAATCCGACGGCCACCTGTCTGTAAGCTTCTCTCTGATTCTGCTGCTTTGCCATTACTTTATCCCGATATTAGAAATCAATTTATCCTTTTGTGAGAAACATTGTTCGTGTTCTTCCTGTTCCATTTGATGTTGCTCTCATTTTTGGAGAATCGTATGCGAATTGTGTGTGTGTGTTGTAGATGAAAGTTGTCGATGATGCAAGACCTGTTCCTCAGAAGATGGTTGAATCTTTCCTTAACAAGTTCTTTCCTTCGGGATATCCATACAGGTTAGTGAAAAATTGAAGCTGTTAAGCAAGAGAAAGACTTCTTTGTGTAGCTTAAGTGATTTAACCATTGAAGCTTTCTTTCTTCGTCTCTACAGTGTGAACGAAGGATATCTTAGGTACACACAGTTTCGAGCACTTCAGCATCTCTCGAGTGCAGCATTATCCGTGTTATCGACTCAGGTCAGCTTCATGACTCTAGCAATGTAGTTCTAAAGTCTAGTCCAGTTTCCACTACGTTTGTTTTCAGCTTGATTATTTATTAGCCAAAATTACATTGAGCTTGTCGGGAAAGTTGTTTAACATGGATATATAGCTTTTGTCTTACTCCTGTGCAGTCACTGCTATTTGCTGCAGGCTTGCGGCCTACACCGGCTCAAGCAACCGTTGTTAGTTGGGTATGTTACCACTTCAGTTTTGTTTGTTCGTTTACTTGTTCCGGGCCTACCCTTAAGTGAAATTCTTGTCAACTCCATTGGTTTAATAGATTTTGAAGGATGGGATGCAGCATGTGGGAAAGCTGATTTGTAGTAATTTGGGTGCAAGAATGGACTCTGAGCCAAAACGGTGGAGAATTCTAGGTATGATCTATTCTTTAGCTAAATGTCTCTGCTGATGTCTTCACCGTGTCTAACCATAACACGTTATTAATATTTACAGCTGACGTGCTCTACGATATTGGTACTGGTCTGGAACTCGTTTCTCCTTTGTGCCCACATCTGTTTCTTGAAATGGCTGGTCTTGGGAATTTTGCGAAGGTATATATATCCTTCTTTTTTAAAAAATAGGGGGAGAATCTATCAGCTCTTATGCATTGAATCTTTTGTACAAAGTGGATTGAAGTGAAACTGTTCTTAGGACATCACTGTCTGCCTTCCTTAACAGCAGAGTCATGAGATATATTAGCCTTCTAGAGAGAGACCATCTTATCGTATATCAATCACCTTCACTGGTTGGTTGTAGGTATCTCTGTGTTTCACATTCTTCATGCATTGTTTGATTCAAATAGGGAATGGCTACGGTTGCAGCAAGGGCAACAAGATTACCGATCTATTCATCTTTCGCCAAAGAAGGAAATCTCAGTGACATTTTTGCCAAAGGAGAAGCTATCTCTACTCTTTTTAATGTTGCTGGGATTGGGGTCGGGATTCAACTGGCTTCCACAATTTGTTCATCAATGGAGGGAAAGGTAATCTCCTTCTGCTCATCCGTTACTCTCTCTTTGAGAATGCTGTTTATATTTGTTTAAGTTGCAACTATCTGCAGTTGGTGGTTGGATCGATTCTTTCGGCTGTACATGTGTATAGTGTCGTAGAGCAGATGCGAGGAGTACCGATCAACACACTGAATCCACAGAGAACCGCTTTGATCGTGGCTAATTTTCTGAAGGTAAATAACATCAGATTTACTTCAATACTCTTAAAACCATCTTGTTGATTTCTCTATTTACACCAAATGTATTATTTTGGAATCTATTTCAGACTGGTCAAGTCCCAAGCCCTCCTGATCTAAGATTCCAAGAAGACCTATTGTTCCCCGAGAGGCCAATCCAAGATGCAGGAAATGTGAAAGTGGGCAGGGCTCTGCATAAAGCTGTGAAGCCTTCTCAGGTGCAGAAACTAAAAGAAGTGTTTGTAGAAGAGAAGTTCCTATTGAGTCAAGGTAAATCATGGACCGATATGGTCTTAGAGCACGATGCTACTGGTGAAGATGCATTGCGAGGGTGGTTAGTTGCAGCATATGCCAAGTCAATGACAAAGATTTACAATGACCCTGATGATATAATATTGCAAGACGCATATGAGAAAATGAACGATGTCTTCAATCCATTTTTATCTCAAGTACAGGCTAAAGGATGGTATACCGATAGATTTCTCGATGGTGGCACGGGAACAAGATTCGCTTGGTAGCTTTGAGTTTCTGGTAATATTTTTTGTTTTCAAGTGTGAACAAGGAATGGTAGGCATGAGAAGTCTTTGTCCATATCATGAATCCACAATCTAGTGCTTGAAGACTAGTGTCAGATTGTTTGGTGAAACCAAAGTAGATAGAAAGTTTGAAGGTACGGTTCTGGTCCTCGTGTGTACTTTTGTCTTTGCCGTTGTAGGTCTACATACATTATTATATTATATAAATCAGTGAAAGTGGAATCTGATTATGCTTTTTGTGGAAATATTTTATTTAAGTGAAAAAGTAGATATTTCTGTGGTTTAATTTTTTAATTTCAGGGGTCAAATAATGTGTACTGGCTCTTCTTTTTTCTTTAGACCTGGACTCTGTAGCTTCTTCTTTTTTTGTGTCCAAAAGGACTCTGTAGTATTTGGAAATTAAACAATATCAGCTGGTTAAACCAAGCTACTGGACACATTGGTCCATAGATTTTGGGGTTTTAACGAGTATATGAGAGCACGAGAGGTACAAGAATGTTGTTTTGATTCACGTTGAAACCAAACTAAAGTTTCTTATGTGTAGATTTCTAAATGTTGCACAAAGGATAAATTCAAGATACAGCAGGGACAAAAAAAAAATGTAATTCAGCTTTTAATGCATGTGACATTATGAGTTTATCATCTACTCTTGGACCTCTACGACTGCGTAGATGAAATTTTGCCGTAGAGTGGTCAAAATATCGTGGTCACACACCATAACTACATATCTAGTGTATAACTGTTCTTGAAATCACCTTGTATCAATGTTCACTTTCCCATTCACCGTTTTAGACTCTTTAGTGGATTTTTATTCTTGTATCAATGTTCACTTTCCCATTCACCGTTTTAATTCTCTAAAGGGATATGGGTAATGCTTCATCAATTGCGTCATCAACACTATAATTGCAGTTTTGTAGATTAAAGGAACCTTAAAATAGCTTTGTTGGATCGGTTTCAAGAGGATAATTACTAACGGTCTAAAATATTAAAGGGTAAATGTTAAGGCTACTTTATTTTTTTGACATGCGGTATATAAACAATAATAATGTGACTCAGCCGACCCCGGATAATTACAAAAAAGAAGCGACAAAACTAGTATTTGATATATTAAATTGGACCCACTAAAATCTAAATTTCGTTAGGTCACGATCCATTTGTACATTGATAAGAACTTGTCAAATTATCAAACAACACTTGCATTGAAAACATGGGAACTTCAAGATTGGAGTAGTGTTACTAGAGAAGATAATCCGCATTGTATTAGAAAAACAAAACCAAAAAGGAAAAGGAAAGGAGAATACAAAAATTGTGAAAAAGGGGCAAGATCTTAGTAATGATGGGTAATAGATGTCGATGATCTTTGTTTTGTTTTAGTCTTCTTTTTTAATGTTATAAATTTGGTCTAAATACATCTAATTGAAGGGAAACACCATACAAAGTTGCTTTTGACAGAGACAAATGAATAGTTTAAAGTAAAAGGTGTCATGGTGAGGAAACCTGTAAGAACCATATAATTATTGGATCCATATCACTAGATATTTACATAATTAATGACGTACCGTAGGAAACACATGGTTCGGTGTTTGAGATGAATGAGTCATAACAGCTTTCATTTCAAGTTATATTAAAATATCTTACATCATATCAACACTAGGATATTTAACATATGGAGTATTCGATTCATTGTCAGTTAATACTCGAGTTAGAAACTCATTATACTGTATCATATTTATGCTATGAACTTACTTTGTTTCATGTAATTAAATTTATATCGACAAAGTAAATACAATAACAAAAGGAAAACAAGGAACAAAAAGGAGTCACCAAATCATACTAAATCATTTCAAAATTTTGTTTTTTCTGTTAACATTATCTCAAATGATATAACAAAAGAGGAACCCCTTTATACACCTACTTCGATATAGATAATCCTTCCATCTTGACACCACCATTGTTTAGGCCTCTATGTACTTTTTTTTTTAATTTATCAAAAAACTATATGATATGCGCATAGAAAGAATATTAAATTTTTAATGTACTTATTGACTTATAGGTCATCCAAAAAGCTTGATTTTGAAATTAAATTTTTGATTAAATTTGGGCCATGATCTGATGTAATTGAGCACTATGAGCCTCTTTCTTTGACATTTTTATGTGTATTTAATTTGAACCTTTCCTTCCTCGTATATTATTAGTACATTAATCATATAGCTTTTACTTGCTTCATAACTATTTTTTTCTCACTCGACTCGACGAAGTAGTTTTTTCCATGTGTAAACAGAATAACGTGTACAAACATATATGCATATAAGTTTACCCACCAAAGTAATACATACATAAATGTTGTAAATCTTATTATTAGATCATTATGCCAGTTCTTACAGAATGTTCAAATCCTGCTATGAGTCCTGCCGTCTTAAGCCAATGATGAATTTTCTTAAATATAGTTACTGAAATTCATATAACAGTTTCTTCTCTTCTTGAATGTTAAGACACTTTGCAAATTTTTGTTTATTAATGTCATACGAAAACACAATTCACTGTTTTTAACCTTTTACATAACAAAAAAAAAATATTCTAAGAAATAATTATTATAATAGTAAAAACCTTATGTAGTTTCTAACCATTACATTGTATCGACATCGTCGAAATAGATTAAATTTAAACACATAAAAAAAAATGAATATAAAGGAAACAACAGTTGAAAACTTTGGACTGTGTGAACCAAAAGTATGTGAAAATTTCAACTTGAAGTTGTCCCACGGTTGCATTGTAACTATATATATATATAATAACACTAAACGTCTACATCGCATGCTTCCTTCAAACATTTGGCTTCTTTAGCTCTCATAAAACTCCATACCCATCCAACACATGGTCTTCTAATCATTTCACTCAGTTGAAGAGCATAAACTTAAGTTTGTTTTCTTGAGAGTTCAAAAGAAAAAACAAAAAACGAAAAAATGGGAAGAGCCCCATGTTGTGAGAAAATGGGGATGAAAAGAGGACCATGGACTCCTGAAGAAGATCAAATCCTGATCAATTATATTCATCTTTACGGCCATTCTAATTGGCGAGCTCTTCCCAAACACGCAGGTGATTTTCATTGTTCTGTATCTTATTCTTATTTTATATTGACTTTCTATCAATAACTCTTGATCTGTATTCTGTAGGCAATACCTTTTTTTGGGAATTTTCTTGATATGGAATAATGGAACTTTTTTGGTGCTTAATTTTGTGGAATTTGTTTTAGGTTTACTTAGATGTGGGAAAAGCTGCAGACTTCGTTGGATCAATTATCTGAGACCAGACATCAAACGTGGCAATTTCACTCCTCAAGAAGAACAAACTATCATCAATCTACATGAAGTCTTGGGCAACAGGTTTGTCTTTTTTTGTTTAAAGAAAAATTAATCATCCTTCTGTTCAACGATTTCTTGAAGGATGATTAAGAAAAGAAATGTTTTTGAGTCGACAATTTTGTTTTGCTTTTACGTCAACCTCCTTATACTTTTTCCATTTTGCAAATTTTGTTCACTTTTGATTACTGTGAGTATAGACTTTACCTCATCTAAAATTAGAAACGTTTTTTTTTTTTTTCAAAATAGTTTAACACCGTGGGGCTGAGGAGATTCCTACCCGTGATTGCCTCAGTCTCAAAATAATTTGTTTTTTCATAGATTTTTTTTATAGTAAAAAACCCCAAAAAATCTCCATCATTACTATTAGACAAGAAATGCACCTTAATCAATGCAAAAACATATGCCATATATTAGCTTTTGGTTTGTTGTCTTATTCTCTATCTCCATGTTTTCTGCTTTCAAAAGCAATATTAAACTAATAAATTGATGAAATCCATACTATATTATATGTAAGACACTTTTTCTAATAATGTTTTGTTTGTTCTTAATTTAGATGGTCTGCGATTGCTGCAAAGTTGCCAGGACGAACCGACAACGAAATAAAAAACGTTTGGCACACTCATTTGAAGAAAAGACTCAACAAAAATCAAAACAATATTGGCGGAGACACCAAAGACATTAACGGAATTAACGAGACCACACACGAAGACAAAAACTCTGTGATTGTCGACACAAACTCTCTGCAACAATTTTCTAATAGTGATTCAACATTTGATATTTCAAATAGCAACATGGAAGATATGATGTCCTCGTACGAGGATATTTCTGCATTGGTTGATGAGAGTTTTTGGTCGGACATACTATCGGTTGATAATTCGAATGATCATCAGAAAAAGATAGAGGATTGGGAGGGATTGCAAGATAGGAATAGTAAGAGATATTGTTATAATAACTCGAAGTTGTATAATGATGACATGGAGTTTTGGTTTGAGCTATTCACTAGTAGTCATAGAATTGAGGAATTTTCCGACATACCAGAGGTTTGAGTTTGATTTTTGTGGTGTTTTTGTCATATGAAAGAGTTTTTGTTTGTAATCCAAATGAATAAATTTTTAAGTCGTTTTTGTTTCCTCTATATATATACGTCTTTTGAGTTTGAGTTATCTCTTTCGTGTTTGCATGTAGATATGAACCTCAACCGAAGTCATCAAACGAAAATAGAAATGGGCTGGCTTTTTAAAATGTTATAAATATAACAATATATTTGAGACCTTTTTAAGCGAGTGATGATATAGAAAAAAAAAAGTATATAAATATATGTTCGTTTTTTGTAGACCTTTAAAATCTACGAAAAACATAAACAATTTGATTTTCGACCTCATCATCACTATTTTTTTTTGACATTACCTCATCATCACTAATTATTCTTTGTTTTTCTTTTTTATGTTAGTGGCTACTAGTTCATTTTTAAAATCTAGATAAAATTTTTATTTTGGAAGTTGTGGATGCACATTGTCATATACTCACATATCATATATGTTATTTGAAAAGCTAGACAATTTCTTAAAAAGATCTCATGAACAAATTGCCTGACGTATACAATAACGAGTTGAAGAAAACAATTTGTTCTTCCCAATGACACCTTTAACCAACAATTATACCATTAGAGATAAATATATATCTTTTAATATAATTAAGGTAATGAACATTTCTTGCTTTTAGAATTGATTTTGCTTTGTACGTTTTAGTTCGAAAAACTCCTTTTATACCCATTCGAGAGTTTACAAAACATATATAGTTTACATAAAAAAGAGTAACTAGAGTGTTTTCAAATACACCGTCACTTGCCATGAGATGAACTATTTTTCTTATGATTAATTACCACAAGCCGTCTCAAAATCTGTTCAACGATTTCTTGAAGGATGATTAAGAAATGAAATGGTTTGTGTCGTCAATTTTGTTTTTCTTTTACGTCAACTATACTCTTTCCATTTTGCAAATTTCGTTCGCTTTTGATTACTGTGAGTAGACTTTTCCAATTTTTTTCTTTTCCATCTAAAATTAGAAATGTTTTTTCTTTTCCAAGTTGCAAAATAGTTTAACACCGTGGGGCTGAGGAGATTCCTACCCGTGATTGTCTCAGTCTCAAAATATTTTGTTTTCGTAGTTTTTTTTTTAAAAGTAAAAAACCCAAATAATCTTCATCAATTGAAACTTTTTTTCGAGTTTAGATATTGTAGAAAGACAATATTACCGAAGGTAACATTGCATAACAAAAAAACTTCAAGGAAACTACAAGCATGCTTAAAAGAGGCCATAAACGAGTTTGAAATGGTTTTAATCCAATGCATCTAGAAAGGTAGATCATCGTAATAATCAACTCATCATCGAACAAGCCACTAGGCCACAAGCCATTCGTTACAACTCAATTCATTAATCTTTCCCAAAGAAAACATCAAAGCTCTTGTTTTTTAGTTGTCAGTAAAATTAGCTCGACGCCCTTCATGCTTAGCATAGCATACTAACAATAAAACTTGTTTTTGACTGGCCAATTTGTTTAATTGCAGTTGAAAACCAGATTCAGTTTGCATTAAAAATATAGTTATCACTTATCAGAATCACATCATTCAATCATCTGAATGAAGAGACTCTGTTTCATGGCAGCAGAGAGGCTTTACAAATATTTCATACACTTTTGCAAAATTTACAATTCATCAATCTGAAGCCATAGATGCACATTTATACACATGTATAAGCCAAAAGAAAAAAAAAAAAAAAGATGGGCCTTGAAGGATTGTTGAAATCACTTAGCAATAGAAGCATGAACAAAGTGAGGCTTTACAATGAATTACATGTAATCTTCAGTCTTCCTTCCTCAAGACGATGACCACAAAGAATATAGATTAGTCTTCTCCTTAACTTCGGCGCAACTTAGGAAACAGAGACTTGAATCGTCCTGACAGAGGCGAGTGAGCTACAAGATTTTAGCTCTTACCAGTAATCTTTACATGAACAAGCACCACCTTCAAAATGATGAAACCTGTATGCATCTCTCACTATGATTTCTCGATTGGATACCTTGGATACAAACTTTATCCAATCATGACAATCGTTGCAAACTCGTAGGTTCTTCATTACATTTATAGGAATTGTTCCAGGCAAGCTAAGGAGTCCAAACGAAATTGCTAGTTTCTCGCTGTGAATGAAAATTGTCGGATCTTTTTGCTCTTGCTGCGCCTCGTTGAGGAGGCTGAAACAGTCTTGCACATACCCGATCTCAGATGCTCGTTTGGTAAGATCTTGGAAATATTCATGTATTTCATCTGCCAACGGGTGATTCTGGTCACCAACATAGAAAGAGTGGATTGAGTTTTTAACTTCAATCCAACTTTGTCCAGGCTCTTTCTTCACACCCTTTTCTTTCATCTTCTGTCTTGTTTGATCCCTAGCATCCCATTTCCTGCACACTGCATACAGATTTGACAGAAGTACATATGTTGCCGAGTCTTCAGGCTCTAACTCTACGAGATGACGTGCAGCAAACTCTCCGATTTCCAAGTTCTTATGCACCACACAAGCACTCAAAAGCGTTCTCCAGACTAACGCATCAGGCTCAATAGGCATCTCCTGAATAAATTCCTTTGCACGGCTCAAAAGACCAGCTCGGGTTAGTATATCCACTACGCACACATAGTGTTCCGGCTTAGGAACTAATCCATATTTTGTGTTCATGGATTCAAAGTATTCAATCCCCTTGCCCACAAGTCCTATGTGGCTGCATGCTGATAGAACTCCCACAAGTGTCACATGATTAGGTCTTATATTAGAATGTATCATTTGGTCAAAAAGATCTAGTGCTTCAGAACCAAACCCATGTTTAGAATAAGCATTAATTATCGCATTCCAAGAAACTTCGTTTTTCGTGGGGAGTTCAAGGAACCGCTTCTTTGCATCAGAAATGCATCCACATTTGGCATACATAGAGATTAAAGCATTACCAACTTCGGTTTCTGAATCATATCCGGTTTTGGTGATCACGGCATGAACCTGCTTCCCTTGTTTCATGTTTGCTGTCTCAGAAGCAGCTTTTACAGCAGACCCAAACGTGAAATTATTACTGTCAATCCCTTCTCTGGTCATTCGAGCAAAGACACGAAATGCTTCCTCATTGTTTCCGCTCTGCTGAAATCCCGATACCAGAGCATTCCATGCTACATTGTCTCCAGCTTCAGTTTGTTCAAACGCTAAATATGCTTCCTCTGTTTTTCCACATCTAGAATAAAGTGTAACAAGTGCATTTTGAAGAGGCAGGTCAGATGAAAAACCAGATACACAAGATTTAGCCTGAATTTGCTGTCCTTCCTTTAGCGATTGAAGACCAGCACATGCACTAATTGCATTTGTTAATCCAACTTCATCGGACTGGATCCCTAGATCCAACATCTGCCTGAAAGTTGTTAAAGCCTTGTCGTTGAAATTGTATTGCGTGTAACCTGCAATCATTGTCGTCCAAGACACAACATCTTTCCCAGCAAACCTTACAAGGATATCCCTGGCAGTATCTAACTTTCCTAATTTTGAGTACATATCTATGAGCACACTACAAACATAGCCATTGAGCTGAAAGTTTGTTTTCACTATTTGACAATGGATTTGTTCCCCAAGCTCAAGATCACCAAGACGGATGCAAGTTTTCAAAATACTCGGGTAGGTATATTGATTTGGAACAATTTCCTCCATCTGCATTTGCCTGAATATCCTAAAAGAGTTTCTTAAATCGTCTAATAGCCCATAAGCAACTAGCATAACATTCCACAGAACTACATTTTCAACCTCAGTCTCAAGAAAATAATCAAGGGCGGTTTCAATATCGGAGCATTTTGCATACAGATTTAGAAGCGCACCTTCAATCTTGTTATTTGAAGCAAAACCAATTTTCGTTGTGTATGCATGTACCTGTTGTCCCCTAAAAAGACTTCCATCAGCTGAACAAGCAATCACAAGACTTGCAAGAGTATTGCAGTCTGGTTCAAGTCCATCAAGCTGCATTCTTTTGAACAATTCCATAGCTTTCTCACCGAAACCACACTGAGAAAGCCCGTTGATAAGAGTGTTATAAGTAACCGCATCTCTATGTGCCATGTTGCTGAAGATGTGTTCTGCTGATATCAGATTTCCCAAGTGAAAATACAAGGACACAAGCGCATTGCAAACATAAGTGTCAGAGGAAAACCCCAACTTCAATACGAGCCCATGAAGCTGCTCGCCAATCTCAAGAGACTCTATCTTCTTACACGCACTTAAAACACTTGAAAACGCGTAAGGTGTTGGCATGATACCTAAATTATACATATCGCAGAATAATCTAATGGCGTCTGCTTCAAGATCATTTTTCGATAGCCCAGATATCATTGCAACCCAAGAACTGTGATCCTTCTTGTCCAATCTGTCAAAAACGTTTCTAGCTACATCCACAAACCCGTTTCTGGAGTACAAATCAATCAAAAGATTACACAGAATTGTACTATCCTCCAAACCCTGATGTATCATCCTCGCATGAATCTGCTCAACTACATCAAAAGCAACTGTACAACAACGACACGCCTCTAGAACACCCGTGAAGGTGCCTTCATCAGGCGTAACATTTTCATTAACCATTCTCGAAACGAGACACAATATTCTGTCACTCAAGTTTCTAGAAGCTAGCTCCTTTATCATCTTATTCCATGTAAAAACTGTTCTCTCAGGCATTTCATCAAACATCTTGAAAGAAACATCTAAGTCTCCTTTGAATAAGTAAAAATCAAGAAGCTTTTCACACAGGGAGGCATTGTTACCAAAACCCAGCTTCAAAATCTGGGCATGTAGCTTTCTCACTTCATCCAAAGACTCGTTTTTCTTCAAACATCCCACTAGAAGCCATATAAAAGTTTGATGATTAGGTCGGATTCTCTTTAAAGGCGTTTTGTTTTCTTGGTAGGATTCATCATCAGAGAGAGGAAGAGATATAGCAGCACATGTAGTTCGGAAACCGGAGATTGGTGTAATTCTTCTGATCTCGCAAAATTTCTACAAAAAAAAAAAGAGAAGAATTAAACACACACAAATAAAAATATTAAGACAGTGTACAGCAATGGCATTTCAATGTGGAAGTTTCTTTAAGAAAATGATATGAAAACGTTTACATGAAGGACATTTCTGGTCTTGAGCTTATGAGGAACAACATGAAGGATGATGAATGAAGAGGACAAAGGCCGAAGAAACATGGCTTCTTTCTTATTTAGCTCGAGGAGTGTTTCAAATAGAGAGACTAGGCATTGAACAGAACCAGATATCTTCAAGATTGTATATTCGGTTTTGTTGGTTTGCAAAATAATTCAATCTCAACCAGCGGTATAACTGATTTTTTTTAAAATCCGAGACCAATTAAAATTTATTGGGCCCAATAACAAAATTTTCTGCTGGCCCACTACATGGCAGAGAAAAATGAAGATGAAGACTCTTCCATGCAGCTTCCCCTCTACATTATCCCATGTCGTCGATGTGGGACAAACCTAAGGACAGACTTTTAATACATAAAAGGTTTACATAAAAAAGACTAACTAGTGTGCTATCAAATCCACCGTCACTTCCCATGAGCCATGAAATGTAATTATTTTTCTTATGATTATAATTACTACAAGCCGTCTCAAAATTAGCATAATTCCGTGAACCTAACCAGGAACTTTACGTAATCAATGTTGTTTGGACGTAAAACGCACCCCAAAATTAAAAAATGGTTCATGCAAACCGGTACATGGTTTGGTTCAGAGAGATTTTAAACCAGGCTCATCATTGTTTCTTCTTCTTCTTTGGAAGTTTCAAGCTCTGTCTCTATTCATCAGTCTATAGTTTCCTCGTCTTTCATATACTTCTCTTGCACAGCTGCGACTGTGAAGACTGTCGTTAAAGATACAACACTTTCTTTGTAAACTCAGAGCAATTGAGATCAAGAATTTTATAAATTAAAATTTTAGAAAGAAAAAAGGATATCTGTTATAATCCCAATCAGCTTGACCAACTGCAATCTTGCTATATTCAACCACGCTTGCATCAATCCCGGAAAATATATATCCATTGGCCTTATCAATGAGCTTTACAAGATTCCCAACACTTTCTTTATCCTGAAAACAAAAAGCTCAAAATAGTGAAAGAGAGATACAAGATGCTTGCAGAGAGATAGAGAGAGTTGCAGAGGAGACAATAGACCTGAATATCCAAAGTTGTAAAATTAACAAGACCGTAATCTTCAACGACACTACATAGCTCACTTGTTAGTTTCCTGCAAACAAGAACATCGAATTCATAAGATACTGAGAATGAATCTATGTGGGAATTTATTGACCGTCCATGTGTAGATATTAGTGTTTACAGCAACCTGTACTTAGCAGAGCGAGGATCTTGATTAAGATGATGCTGTAAGTATGACAAGTCTTGAACATCGGTATAGAAATCTAAAGTGAAAGCTACATGACAGACAGAGAAGATAGTTAGTGAGTTTCCAAAGTGAAATCGATGGTGAGAGAACATAAGAGATCTTTAAACCGTTTAGTACCTAGCTTCCCGTAGCTACCAATCAGATCGATTTTAGACAAGACATTGACATGTGGGAGTTCCATATGAAGCATTGTGGACAAGGAGAGAAGCAACGAGCTTACATAGTTACCAGGGTCACTACATAGATGGCAATCAATTAGTTGCACAGCAGTTAACTGCAAAACCAAGAAAGAAAAGAGAAAGAATTAGTCAGATACATAGACTCTTACGGCTCATTTAGCAATTTCGATAACAACAACAAAGAAAAGCACATACTCTAAGGTTCAAGGATTTTATTAGCTTCGTGAGAAATTTCTTGGTACTGTCATGATTGAAGAAGAGTTCCACTTGGCCAGGAAAATCAAAGAGAAAGTAATGGTCTGCAAATGTTATCAATATCTTTTTTAGTAGATATACCCCGAAATAAAAGGTACTTAATCGAAAGAGAATTTATTGTTGCTAACCCTTCGAAAGAGGCTTTAATTTAGATTCCAGCCAGTCAATGTTTTTCTCCAAGTATTCCATACAATACATAAGACCTGTAAGTTGTTGTTAGTTTAATCAAAGATAAGATTAAGAAGAAGAGAAAAAGGACTACAAAGATGGAGAAATTCACCTCCATTAGGACCAAGCGAATGTTGAGACATAACATCTTCTAACTTAATCAATTCTTCTATATTCACAGCACACTCATACCTAAAGATCAATGTCAAGAAACAATTCACTTCTTGAAAAATTTCCCATGACTATTCATCAATTTCGACAATTTAACAATTCTAGCAGTCAAAAAGGATACGGTAATGCATCGTTTGCAGGATCCAGATTCACAACAGCGACCTTCCTGCAAAAGAAAAAAAGAAGAAGAAGAGAATATAGTCTCAGAAAAGTCCTCAGGAATCCGAAGAATCTCTTGCAATTGAAAGACAATGCAATAAAATTCCACATATGAGTTAGCTCAGAAGTTGGAAAATAAAAAAATTCCGGAATTTAACACTCGCGTAAACTAAAGTTTGGGACTTTATGAATTCTACAAAGCTAGAGACCGGGAACCAAACCAATAGATAAACAGAATTACACCTACAAAACAAGAAGAAACAAAAATTCGAGCAAGAGAGAAAGAAGATGTCACCTGCCGATAAGAGAGAGGAACTGAGACATGCCATTGCAGTAAGTGGTCTTGCCCGATCCAGGAGGACCTATAACTACTTGTCCAAACACCATATCTAAGTGGACGAGGTAACAACAAAGGGTTTTTTTTTTAACAACAAAAGGCTTGAAGAACTCAAACGAGAAGTGAGATAGTGACAGAAAGAAATCGTTTTTAGGGTTTTTGAAACACAATTCAAAGTTTCCAATTGACTCGCCTTTTTATCAAAACCCCCAATTTTTGACGGACGACATACAAAGTAAGGGTTTTTTGATCGTCTGAGTTTGTTTCTCTTCAACCTCTCCAAGTCTTGCTTAAACCGAACCGGAAAAGAAAAGCGGTTTACCCAAACCGTTATTTAGTTTCAGAGGTTTTTGGCTTATCTCTCGCCGCTTTTTGCTATATCCGAATTTCTTCATCTTCTTTGCGACGAGCTTATCGTTTCCACCAATGGCTTCTCTTCTCAATCTCTTCAAATCATGTAAACCCTTTACTCCAATTCGATTCCCTTACTTTCCAAGGTCTCATTTCACTTCCCATCTCAGAATCCAACATCCCTTTAGACCCGGAAAGTTAACTCTTTCCCGTCGATGTTTCACGGCTCTCTCATCATCATCATCATCATCATCATCCCATCCGTCGACAAACCCAACAACGGACGGCGGAGATTCGATTTCTGGGGAAAAGGAGCTTTGGTTGCACAACACAATGAGCCGGAAGAAGGAACTGTTCAAGCCCAAGGTCGAAGGTAAAGTTGGAATGTACGTTTGCGGCGTTACTGCTTACGATCTCAGCCACATTGGACACGCACGCGTCTACGTCACGTTCGATGTTCTCTTGAGGTATTGACTTGGAGAAAGAAGCTTTAAAGTTTTGTGGGTTTATGGAAAGTTTTGATTTTTGAAGTTTGTTCTGTTTTTGATTTTGATTGAGAATTAGGCAGGTACCTTAAGCATCTAGGATATGAAGTGTCTTATGTTCGAAACTTCACCGATGTGGATGACAAGGTGAGATACTGATGTCATGAAACTAGTTCTTACAATGCAAATGAGAGCTATCTCTTCTTGGTTTAAGTCTCTTATACAGCTTAAGCTCTGTGTAGAAGTTTTAGAGCAAGTTCCCGAGTCCCTTGAGGAAAGTTTCAGTGAGAACTTCTTAAGCTTGAGTTTTGTGGTACCATTAGATCAATAGGAGAAGTAGTCAATGTCTAGTTTTTTGTTGCTTCGTATGCAACTGACTAATCAACTTTCAAATCTTGTAGATAATCGCCCGAGCGAATGAATTAGGGGAAGATCCAATCAGTTTGAGCAGACGTTTCTGTGAGGAATTTAATCGAGATATGGAACAGCTTCAATGTTTAGATCCTTCAGTCCAACCACGCGTCTCTGATCATATACCTCAGATCATCGACCTGATCAAGCAGGTTTTTAACCATCTTTACTTACTCTAGTTCCGTATCTTGTTGGACCAATTGATCATGTTTGCTCACATTCTCATTTGCGATGTTATTCTAATCAGATTCTTGATAATGGCTATGCCTACAAAGTTGATGGAGATGTATACTTCTCAGTCGACAAGTTTCCAACATACGGACAATTGTCTGGGAGAAAATTAGAAGATAACCGTGCAGGTGAGAGAGTTGTAGTTGACACAAGGAAGAGACATCCTGCAGATTTTGCTCTGTGGAAAGTACGCATTTTTTTATTACCGCTACATTTAAGACTGATTTGTCTCATTTTACTGTTATAAAAGACTTTTGCATTATTTGGTAGGCTGCAAAAGAAGGGGAACCCTTTTGGGAGAGCCCGTGGGGAAGAGGAAGACCTGGTTGGCACATTGAATGCAGTGCGATGAGTGCGGCTTATCTCGGTTATAGTTTTGACATACATGGTGGAGGAATGGATCTTGTGTTCCCTCACCATGAAAATGAAATTGCTCAGAGCTGTGCTGCTTGTGATAGCAGCAACATCAGCTATTGGATCCATAATGGTTTTGTTACTGTTGACTCTGAGAAGATGTCCAAATCTTTGGGGAATTTCTTCACTATCAGACAGGTAAACATTTTAGAATTTTTTCCCATTTCCTTTCAAATCCAACGTTAATGTGCAAAACAGTTTCTTTGACAACTGCAGGTTATAGATCTTTATCATCCTTTAGCTCTGAGACTTTTTCTAATGGGAACTCATTATCGGTCTCCTATCAATTACTCTGCTTTCCTCCTCGAGAGTGCTTCTGAACGCATTTTTTATATTTATCAGGTAATCCCTGGTTACAAACTTTCTTTTCTCTGTAGAAAGATTGCATTTTTGGAAAACCTCTCTTGTTCTTAAGTTTGAGATGCTTAATGTGGCTGTTGACAAAAGTTTTACGTGCTCAACATTGTAATTCGATGTTATATTCCTCCTTTGTTTATTGACAGACATTACACGACTGTGAAACCGTTTTACGCGAGAAGGATTCGACATTTGACAATGGTTCGGTTCCTTCAGACACTTTGACAATCATCAACACATTCCGTAGTGAATTTATAGCCTCGATGTCTGATGATCTTCACACGCCCGTAACTCTGGCTGCAATGTCAGAACCATTGAAAACCATCAACGATCTCATTCACACCCGAAAGGTAAATATAACCTACTGTAATAAGAGTCGTCTTTTACGAATCATATACCTTCACATGTTTTTGGAAACCAATTAATGGTATAGTTAACAAGTGATGATTTTGATATCCAGGGGAAAAAACAACCAAGAAGAGAAGAGTCACTTAAGGCTCTAGAGACAACAATCAGAGACGTTCTTGCTTTATTAGGGCTTATGCCCACAAGTTACTCAGAGGTATGGCTTCCACTACTGCAAAGCTAGAGATGTTGCGGCCATGACCAAACTTGCCAAATCCCTGGTTTTTCTCCTTCCTTTATGTTTTGTATTGAACTGTTCTGTTTCCTTCTGTCCACAGGTTCTTGAGCAGCTAAAAGAGAAGGCGCTAAAGCGCGCTGGACTGAAAGAGGAACATGTGTTGCAGAGAGTGCAAGAGAGAACAGAGGCAAGGAACAATAAAGAATACGAAAGATCTGATGCAATTAGGAAAGATTTGGCTAATGTTGGGATTGCTTTAATGGATAGTCCTGAGGGAACAACTTGGAGACCAGCCATTCCCCTTGCGCTTCAAGAAACTGCAACCAAAATTTGAGTTTTAAAAAACTTTATACTATAGTCTCTACTCTTTTTGTTTTTAGTGGATTCTATGTATTTTTTTGTATCCATTTTTGTTGATTTCGTAAAGTCTAAAGAGTGACATTGGATACTTGTTTTATTCATTTTTGTGGTGGAATTATTCAGCGATGGCTACTTTCATTAATCATATGAAGTTGATTGTCTGATGTTAACAGAAAAAAGGAAGTTAATTGTCTATTTTATTTTTAAAAATACATTTAAAATTTGTATTTTTTTTTCTCTTTGTTGAATTTTGTGATTGGATATCTGTTTAAATTACCATATCTATGAAACTACGTGTATCTTTTTCTTCTTCTTTTTTTGACGTCAACATGTGTATATATGTAAATGTAAAAACGTATAGGATCACCTGTTTCAAATAATAATTCTCTTTTTCGTACAATTATGAGCATATGGAATGGAACTAAACTGAACCGAACTAAGATTCAATTTGGTTCATTTGATTTCGACTCAGTTCGGACTATTTATTCCAACTTTAAAAAGAAAGGAAAATAGAAATCTTGAATTTTTTTGATTTTTTATTTTTTGTGTGTGTTGGAAACAAATCTAAACTTTGACTTAAAGAAGGAAGATATGCTAATTTTTGGAGTATGCATGTGGTGGAGTCTCACAGGGGTTTCACTAAATATAGGTTTGGGTGGGTAATGATGAAAAAAGAGAATCATGTGGAAAATTCGGGGTCCCTCATTTCAATGCTGATTGTCTCCTCATTTTTTTTTTTAAATGAAATATTCGTATCAATCCAAAAACGTGAATAATTATGATGGAACTTATGTGTAATGGTGATAATACATGGGTGTGTTGATTCTTGAAAGTCTTTTTTTGTTCTAACCATATATGGAAAGGCCATGATTCCATATCTAAGTCGAAAGGCCAACTCTTAATGCTCACTTCCAACCCACATCAAATCTAAATAGATATTCTCATAATTGAGTATTATTTGTCGGTGAAAATTCCCCTAAGTTGAGTTGTGATGAAGTTTATGTTATTATTTTTGATTACTGATGCTTGTTTTTGTCGATCACATTAGAGCCATTTAAGTAAGCTATGTAATTGGAACGAAGATGTTGGAAACTAGAATGCAACCACAAGTAGAATTAATGGATTGTGTTATATTCGACGTCATGCATCAAAATATGTGCAAGAACATTGTTATAGCTCAAAGTAGAAACCTTGTATAGACTATCATAATTTCGATAATATTGTCGGTCAGCTCTAAAGGGAATACTGACCAAAAACAATTATGATGATTAGGTGTTTTGAACCGAATATCAATATGACACCGTATAAAATAAATTATTTCTATTTGGAGTATGTTTATACGTATTTATTGACCGTTGGTTTTAAATTTTAACAAGTGAGCAGAATGTCTGCAGCTTTCTTGAAAAAAAAAAGATACAAATTTGATATGAAAATAAAAGATGAAACTTACGCTTCCAATCATATGAAGGATAAGATAAGCGGATTGGACAAAGCGATGGTTGTTGAGTATTTTCCAAAATCATTGAAATTAACAAACCAATATATGTTGACCATATACGAGATGTAGCATACAATTAGAGTGTATTAGTAATAATTATCATTGCGTGGCACATAAATCTAAATTTTCTATCATACGCATTGTTTTTTTTTATACATATTATACACATTGTTGATAGTGCAAAAACTAAAGTATATCTGCAATTTTCACATTTAAGAGTGTGAGAAATTTATCTACTACATAAAGACATGAATTTTGTTTTCGTCACTGAAAATTGATGATTTTTTTTTTGTAAACATTAAATACCTCATAAAGTTTAATATTGTATTTGTGAAAATTTTCATTACAAATTTTACAAGAGAGATTTTGGATATTAAACATTATGCCATATATATGAGATATAAAAAAATTATTTTGGATACATAAGACATAATGTCGTACTAGATTTTAACCCCGTGCGTTCGCATAGGAATGTTTTATTTTTTATTTCTAATATAAATTACATTTATCTTTTTTGTTTAGATATAATTTATTTTTGTTATTTATTTTTTTAAATCAAAAAATTGTTATCATATTAATTTAAAACAGTAAAATTTGTATATTAGTAGACTAAGAGTATACGTTAATTAAGTATACATTGATCTAATGTTAATTATAAACTTTGTTATTATGTGAATTTAGATTTACACATAAACAATCTATATATCTATGAATTTGCTAATCCATCCGTTTAGTTGTCTTAAATCATTTTTAATATCTTACATGTTTTGACAAACTAACACGTATAAGACTATAATTATAATTGTATAACCCTATAAATATTTACTAATATGGAATATTTGGACCAATTGATTATGAAAAAATATAATAAGATATTTATTTACTATTTGTGCTATTAAAAAATGTATATATATATAAACGGGCTAATCTGTTAGTTTAATTGTCTGAAATCATTTTAATATCTTATATGTTTTAATGAATTAACTCATAGACCTTATATATATACATATATATATATAACTCTTATCAGCTCGATCATATTATTGTATAATATAAATATTTATTAATCTCAAATATTTGATATTTTAGACCGATTGTTTATGATAAAATACGATAAAATATTTATTTACTATGTATTTTTATAAAAATATTATTTAAATTTAAAATTTTAAATTAAATCGTTCTTGTATTTAAGAAATTCTAAAGTATTAAAATTATTATCTAAATTTTCGTAATAAAATTTAATTATAATTTTTTTTTGAAATTTTTGAATTTAAATTAAATTGAATGCAAATTTTTGTAATTAAATTTAGTTAAATTTCTAATAATTTGAAATTTAAATTAAAGATGACCTAGATTTTAGGAAATCTAAAAATATCTAAATTAATAACTAATTTTCGGAAATTAAATATAAAAATTAAATAAAATATTATAAAAAAACTTTGGAAGTATTTAGATGCAATGTGCTTCTGTTTTAATAGAATAGATATAAAACACAATAATTTAGACGTACTTACGGTCTATTTTTGCATATGAGCATGGCGATTTTAGAACTATTAAATAATCATTTCCATATTTATTATTTATTAACTTCTATTGTACTGATATCCTTGAGGGTCGACTTGCAAAAGAAATAAAAACACAATTATTTTTTTCATGTAAGTTTGTTGGTCAAGGGTTGAGTTTTCTTCAAGATGATCCCTTTCGGCAAATTTAATGGAATGTGAAGTTTAATTGTAAAAAAAAAAAAAAATACTCAAGTCCTTTTCAATTCGTGATTCATAAGTCCTAACTGTGGGTTTCAAAACTTTAGCAGATTGAAATGTAGAAGTAAAGAATTGTTTTATCTTTGAAATGGATTTTACAAAATTTGGAAATTCAGACATGGACAAGAATCAATAAAAGTTGAGGGGTTGGGGTCCTTGAGTGCTCTGCGAGGAACAACTTACAGAGACAAGACAGGTGAGAGACAGAACTCTGGCTCTACCTCTAACACTCATGAATGATACAACACTACATAATGTACCAACATAATTATTATTTTATTTTTGTTACATCTTATTATTTTAGTGTTTCATTTATATACACAAAATGAGGATATCACAATACCAAAAGTATCACATATATGGTTTAAGGTACTATAAAAATACTATAACATATGTTGTTTGGTTTTCAAATTTGACAAAAGATTGTTTCATCCGCCTGACCTATTGTTGTGATACTTTTGGTATTACTAGTGACGCTATCTAAACTATAATATTGATTAAATCTTATAATAAGTGTGGTTAAAAATCTGTCCAATCAATACTTTTCCATGTTATATTTGTCGTTTTCTATTTTTTAATATCTAAAGATTAAATACATACATTTATTTATGAAAATGACTCCGAAAAATCAGAAATCCATTACAAGAAAAAATTTTTAAAACAGCAAAAAAACTTAAGGAAAATTAGCAGCCAAACAAAATTATAATGAATACATGATTAAAAATGGATTATGATATTCTTTGTATAATGTATCATATATACCAATCTACCTTTGTGACACACATAACACATATGTACATGAGTTTTATCCTCTTTTTTTTTTTTAATTATTTTCTTACCCAAACTCATCTTTGATCTGTATCTCTTCAAAAACACTTATTCAGTATTTCTATCCGATTGGAAAAGGTATATTTTTCTGCACATACCATAGTTTAAATTTTTTGAACGGAGACAAATTTCTCGCACCGATGAATAAACTTTAATGTATAAACGTCTATAACGAAAACAATCATTCTCTATATGTCTTTCTATATAGAATGTTGAGTTCTATATATATTACCCATTCTATTCTACTTTTTCGAGGTGCTGTATTATGTAACTGTTTTGTGAACAATTGAGCAATTCGTTTGTCTAATATTATGCACTTTGTTGTAATTATTTTGTAATTGGGATACTCTAATATAAAATTGAAAAATACACTTTGAATAAGTATGTATATGGTATTCGTGCAACAATACAATTACGTCATTCAAAAAGAAATTACACTTTTAATATATGAGATGTAATTAAGATCATACATATACATGCACATACGAAATTAAGTTCTTTCCTTTCTTTTGGCCATCACAAGTGTATCATATGACATGTTACTTGGAACCTTAGTTATTACATCAAGTAAATCGCATATATCTGGCTATTGGAATGCTACACTTAGGGGTGGAATTACAATAACCAAAATAACAGAGAATAATAACCACAAAAATACAACACTATCATTCACCATATCTAAAAAATCTAGGGTTTATACCCAAGCCTAGACATGCACGATGTTCTTCTTGAGTAGAACTGTAGATAAACTCTTAAAAATGGAGATTTTAATTTTTTTTTTCTTTTATGCTGCTTATTAAAAAGTGAAAGTGTGAGTAAGAAATGTATCACTTACTAGCAAACCTATGATGAGCTTGAACGAGAAAATGAGTTTTCAATGAAACAATAATAAGACAGCGTATATACTGATGCATGCCACATTTGCATTTGAATGTTTGAAACTGAGTACAAATTTAGTAAATCTTTGAGGGAATATAGGCGTGGAGTTAAATTACTGAGCTAATTTGATGGATATAAAATAGATAGTGCAATCACTGTCAACTACTATAAGTTTATAAAGACCACTAATAGTTCACTGTCACTTTTCAACGACCACTGTTTTGCATCAAAAGAAGAAAAATCAATAAATCTATTCTAGTATCATCATACTCCATAAATCGATCTATATTAAACCTAAGACCTCTCTGTTTTAGAAACACATCAAGCTTAAAGATGATGAAGAAGAAGACCAAATAATTGATAATAGATAGATAGATACTCACATACATAAGATATTATATACATGTGACTATATATATATTTATATTAATGTGAAAAGCTCTTTTATTAGATAAATAAAAATTGAAACCCTACCTTCCTTACCCCCAACATACACTAGTAACAAAAGAACCTTAGTTCTTCCTCCACCACATTCTAAAACTAACCTAAATTAAAATCAACATATAAGAAAGAGAGCAATTCACATTTTATATTACATAAAATACTCAAGTTTTCTTCTCTTAAACTATATATAATTACTTCTCAAACTTTGATATTTGAGTAGTAGAACTAGTACCCGGTAACATTTGAAATTGGTGGTGGCTAGCTACGGCGGAGGAAGAAGAAGCCGACGAAGGAGGAAGAGGACGCTTTCGCTTCTTCTTCTCGTAACTAACACCTCTAGCTTTGCTCTGCATATCTCTAACTTCCCTTAGATAAAGCCTTACGGCTCGAGCTCCAAATGGATTAGTCTCAGGCTTCCCTCCGTTTTCTTCAAAGGCGGCTCTAAGACGACCGATGAGAGCGTCAAGGCTTCCCCAAGCTTGTCTAAGAGGACAAGGACATGGTGCTGGAGGATTAGGATGGCCATAGAAGTGACACACGGTCGTGTGGACTTTTGTCTTGCCGAATTGGTCCAAGTAACGGAGGAACTCGAGGACGTGAGCTCCGCTGCATCGAGAAAGGGAAAGCGGTGGACGATGGTTCCTTAGGTATTGTCCGAACGTGTTCCAGTCTCTTCTCTTTTGGTTCTCGTAACGGCTTGAGTTCGCCGATGGAGATGAGGAGGAGGAGGGTGGTTGCGTTGCGGTGGCTCCGGTGACGGAGGAGTTTGATGAGATGTTTGCGATGATGCTGAGGTTTGTGGCTCCTGCGTAAGCCGAAGATCCTTCCATCAGTTGAGGAATCATATCCATCTTTTTACGGATCGATCGATGTTAGTTACTTAGGTTCTTGCACCGATTTTTCTTGATTCTTGATTCTTGATCTTTCTTTTGGTGGATATGGAGCTGAAAATTTTGTTTGTGCGGTTGGGAGATATAAGGTTACTTTGTGAAGAATGAAGATATATATCATGTGTATTGATTAACTTTTTTTTTACAATAATATTAATTATAAGAAATATTATTATAAACATTTTTGGGGTTTTTTTGTATTAGTTGAGATAAGTGGACTACAGTTTCCAGATCTTTACACTTTTGTATCTATTGTTTGTTTTGTCTCTATTTCATATACCGGGTTTGGTGTTTTTTCATGTAATATTTCGAAATAATGTCGGAGGAACTAAATAGCCTTTTTGGGACAATACTAAACGAACGTTCGGTTATCCATATAATATATAAACATGATTTGCTAATAATATGGATAATAATTGATAAACATTTTCCTTATCTAGAAATATTTCTTCTTGTTTTGTATCAAACTTCGGTCTGCTTTTTGTAGCTATTTTTAAGGTGAAAAAACAAAAGGTAGTTATCCTATTTAAATTAGGTTTAACGTTAAGGGTCTTTTAAAGTTGTTTTTAAGAGAAGTTTTTTTTTTTTAACTCTGTTTTGCTTTGATTTTTTTTTTTTTTTTTTGAAAATACTTGACGAGAAAAAGCGGTTCCCGCATAATTTACATTTGAATTTCCTATTTTGTTGTTATCGTTTGTCCCACTATATAAATACCTATTTTAAAAGCTAGTGAAATTAGAAGTTAAAAGACTCAGAATTAGAACTGAGGAATGATCTTTAGAGTATCGGAGTAGTATTATCGTTTTAACTTATAAGACCTGTATACTTTAAAAAAATTCTCTCTGACCCAAAAAAAAAAAAAAACTCTCATCACTTGCTACATGAAGGAGAGAATGGTTGTAACTTGTCGACTATAGATAAAAAAAAAACTCTTTTCATTCTTGGCTTCATTATTGATAAAGACTTGTGAGCTTGGCTGTTTCGTTCCTCTCTTCTTTTTTTCCCTCACTGAAATAATTTTCTGTCGCTAGAAAAAGGCAGAAAAGGAGTTGGGCATTTAGGTGTGGACAAAGGCAGCCAAAAGTTTGAAAAAGATTGAAATAGTTTTAGAACAAATATGAATATTTTATAATATATTTCTATCTCCTACTGTAGAACTGATTGACAGTTCCTTGTTAGTTTACCAAAATAGCCCTCAATTCTTCTCCCTTGGACACATATGAAAAGGACTTTTCTTCGGACCATTGTACAAAGTATATTTTATCTATAATATTTTTATTAGAGACAACAAAAAAATTATTTAGACCATAGCCTGGTCTCCTCTTTCATTAAATTCACCTTTGTTTTTTGCCAAAAGTATCTTAAGTTATATTACTGTATCGTGCTAATTTCAATTCGTATCTAGTTTTTGCAGATATCCACTTTTCTATCTTACTCTTTCTGACATCATTAACAAACATAACTAGAAATTCTCGACCAATAAATAGTTCACTCATTCACTGTATAGTATATACACTCTAAAATTCGATCCAAGGTTCAAATTACAGCTAAGCGATAATCAGAAATTATTTATCTAGCGTCTAAACTTTTTAGACATTGATTATTAACCTTTTTTCTTATCATCTCAAAAAATATTTCTAAATTGTTTTACAGTCATCTAAACCCATTGATCAATACTAAAGCTTTAATAATCGATGGAAATAGCTTAGTCATTCGTTAATTTACATTCCCATGCAATGCCATCGGAAAGAGTCTTACTTGTTTTTAACCAATGAATATCTCGGGTCTAGATACATAGCCTCGCCAATAAGGATTATTTAACGTCATAAGTTAAAATGAGTAATTCTCAGCTTTCCGGCTTTGTCGGCAATATGCTATCGACGTATCCAATCGTAGATTCATTGTCATTCTATCATGGAGATTACTCTGTTTTAATCTTTATTGCATGCATTCAAGTTTTATTGTAGTAATCTGAAGAATTTGGAAAGCTCCTTTCCTTCCTTGTAATTTGTAAGTTTAAATAAAAAAATCTGCACAAAATAAAATAAAAATAGATACATAGTCTCGCCAAACCAAAAATCAAATATGTTAAACAGAAATTTAGTTTTCTTTCGATCACTAGTACTCAAATTAAGAACTTAAAGATTCTTTCTTCTTTGAATGGTAAGCTTAGACGCCGGTTAAACTTTTATTTGACTACAAAATTAAAATTATTCTATTGAAAACAGGAAAAATTCTTAAATATCATAAAGTTTAGTCTAAGCGTAGGTTGTTTTTAATATAATAGAAAAGACCCTTACTGGAAACTCAATAATAGAAAACCATAGTTAAACGATGTATTTTAGAACTTGATTTGAATCGAACCAGATTTTCGGTTGAGAAAAGCAATTATGTTCAATTGCCATAAGTATATAGAAGTCATAGAATCGGGACGAAGAAATTAAGAACTAGGGTTTCAGAGTGAGAAGTTAAGAGTACATAAACTGAGTAATCGACACCAAATTAAATTCCACATAATAAGAGCTTGAATGTTAAACTAAAAACTCGACACACTAATTCAATAAATTACAACTATATATTGGGTAATCTTATGGCGATAGTTAACATTAACATCGCATATTAAAATAACAAAATAGAAAATGTTGACATTTTGTTTGGTCTATTGTGTATTCTAGATCGAAAAGTAAGTTTTCTTAATAAACTATAGAGAAATGTAAATTCATTTTCTTTAATAACAACTCGGATTTTTCAACAAATAAAAAATAACAACTCGGATTTTCAAGCTCGGAAAAAGATATATGCTCAAAATTGAACAATGTAGCATTAGGTTTAACATTTTCGAGTTGCTCCATAAATCTCTTCTTTTTTTATATATATCTCTTCACAAGACGACAAAAATTCTGGCTAGATCATACTAACCTACAAATCAATCCTCGTTTACATAACTTTCCTCAACTATTTATCATTAAACACGACACATATTGCAATTAGCTAGGTACTAGCAGTGGCTCGAACCTCGTAGCAGTACTCCTTTTGTATATATCAACGAATATTTTAAGTAACCACTGTCTGTCTCAATTGCCTTACAAGTTATCAAACTATTATACAATTATTAAGTACCATCAACTATAAATTGTATATTCTTCTCTTTTTTTTTGGTCGAACAGAAATTGCATATTCTCAATACGTTTTTAGGACGTCAATGTTTTGCGTGCACATGCACAAAATACATGTGTTGAGAGCGTACGAAATATCTATATGTACATGTAAGTTACTTATAGCCATCTCTTCAACAACAGAAAAGTCCAGCCATTAACGACAATTATGTCGTTCGTTCTGTTCGTTGCTTTTTTCCAAAACTTTATTCGTATCTCAGATTTGAATATGAATAATGGTGATGAATATTACGGGATTTAAAATTTTGGAAATGGATATTCATATCTGACTTAAATATATATTAGGCTTGAATATAATGTGACTTTTTCACGTTTTTATATTTTAATAATATATTTTCATGGAGTACATACATACCATCCACAATAATTAGCATGAAATGATAAAAAAGTGAAAATTAATAAATTAATTTTAATTTTTCACCTGAAAATATTAAAATTGTTTATTTTTTTATAATAAATGTATTTGATCGAATACGAATATCAAAATACTGATCTCTTTAAATATAAGGTGAGATCCACTTATTCTAATATTTTAGTTTATAGGGCGCATTTCGAATTATATAAAGGTTATGAATAGTAATCATCTCAACAGAAAAGAGAATAATTTTTAGGAAAAAAAAACATTTAAATGTACTGAAAGTGGCAAGAGACTCACAATAAAAGGGAGAAAACTAGAGATGGGACCTGACATCAGTCAGTGTCATATACTAAATGAGGACAGTAACTTCAATTTTACAACACACACAATTTTTTACACCGACCTCTTGTGTCACTCTTTTTTTTTTTTTTTTTTTTTTTTTTGTGTCACTCTTTATATTGTTTCTGAAGACAAACATGCACCAATTCCACCTTAATTTTCATTATATGAAAACATTTATATACCAAGTTTTTTTTTCTAACTCATAACATACTTCATTTAATTAAATACTGGATGAAGAAAGTTGTTTCCCCCTTTCCACCAGTGGACTTAACCACGATGGGGTACAGTTATCTAAAACAGCATGATAAATAGAGTTTGAGTTACTGCACATTATTTCGGATAAAAGCACAACAACCAACACAAAGATTACTACAAAACATAATCTGTTAAACATAATTAAAGAATTTTGTGAAAGTAGTAAGAAATATTGATGGAGCAGGTTAAACTATAAAAGGATAAGCACACTGTTGAGATTATTCTCACGTGATTGTTTTGACAAATATAATGACACTTGCAAATAGTAGACAAATATCATTCCGCTTTTTAATCATTCTGCTTAATTAAGACGCATCAAAACTTTAATTTAATAGAAAATACTTATTAGGATATGGTGGTGAATTCTAGAAGTTCATTAATTTTCTAATCGCCGACAAAAAAGGGAAAACCCATTGATTGCCTAATCAGGATTCAGGGCAGAATCTTAAAAATGATAGTTCGGGCAGACGGGCAGGGAACTAAACTACAATCTTCTCCCTTTCTTTGTCGTCATCTCCTGTCTTTTTCTTATAAAGTTAGACCCTTTCTTTTTCCATGTCTATTTAATTTTCTATCATCTAAAAATGATTAATTTCAACTCTGATTTTAAACTACCGCTAATCAAGTTGATTATGCTTAGATAAATTAGCATACTAAATGAAGAGTGAGGACAGTGGCTTCAAATTCATTAAGAACCAATGAAAAGAAAGAAAGCCATTTCAACATTGCTGCTAAGAGCAAAAGGGAAACTCATCAACTAAATTAGTAGAATGCATCAAGATTCAAGATTATTAATGAAGCAAATACTTGAGATTCATCGGCTGTATCAAAAAAAACTAAAGCAATGTTCATGTTCATTCCGATCATCAGGCTTTATTTGCCAGCAAATTCACAAGGTCAGCTTTCTTCATCTTTGAAATCCCTTTAAGACCCCTTGATTTTGCTATGGCTCTAAGTTCTATCAACTTCAGTGCACTCAAATCCTCGTCTTTCGCAGTTTCTTCCTCGGCATTGATAGGCTCATCATCATCATCATCATCATCTGATAATTCATCTTCCTCTAGAAAAAATGACTCTGGTTTCAGCTTTGGCTCTGATTCGAAAAGGGTGAGTCTTGGTTCAGATTCTTCAGGTTCTTCAGATTCTTCAGGTCCAAAAAGGGTGAGTCTTGGTTCAGATTCTTCAGGTTCATACTCAGGCTCATATTCAGGTTCATCACGCGACTCTACTTGATCCTTTTTCTGAGTCCAAGTCACGCTGTAACTTGATGCCTCGTCAAACATGGCCTCACCAGAATAACTTGACGGAGATTTATGTCTCGGTACAGGCGAGTTGCGTCTGAAACTCGACGCTGGCCTGGTAAAGGGAGTTGCATTGCGATCTTTATTTCGCGAATCGAAATGATTGGAACTGTGATCTTGTCTTTCTGCAGCATCATCATCTTCCTGTAGCTGCTTCTCAGAAGTAAAATTGCTAACTTTCTTCTTGCTTTGTTCTCCTGAGTGCTTTCTCAGTAACTTAAGTAGAGAGTCTACTGTCTCGCTCTCTTTTCCCCCTTGTCCTTTAGAAGCTTCTTCAGTTTTCTTCTCTTCTTTCTTAGCAGCAGCTCGAGCTCGGAGCTGAGCTTGGACTTTCCTGAAAAGATCCACAATCTCTTTCTCTCTTGGTCCAGGCGATGAAGTAGCCTGGAATTTCGGGGAATTGGATAGAGAGAACATAGGACCGTTTTTGGAAGACAACATTTCAGAGTCTTCAAGACCACCACCACCGTCCAAACCGTCTCTATCTTCGTTTCGCCTGTTTCTGCCTCCTCGGAATCCATGCTTATTGTTTCTTGAGAAATCAGGATTATTTCTCCTATGGCCAGAAGAACTTGCTCGGCACACAAATGAAATTTTGTTAGGGGCTGATTTTAGATGTTTATTCTTGATGTGAAGTTTGTGAACCAGACAGGAAGAGCAAGGTAATATGGCAAGTGTTCTTCTAGACACAGCAGAGTTAGAGAAGCTCCTGCTATCTGAAACTCCATAACCTGGGTTTACAAAACCAATAACATATTAACTAAGGAGAGTTTATAATCCAATTTTGTTACCAGATAAAGAGATTTTGAATATTTTGATACAACTACGATCGAAATGAAGGCTTTAACATAACAGAAAAGGTACAAAAGTCTCTTCATTTCGTACTGAAAAGATGTGAAATCGAAAAGCTGAACCTTTACGTTAACAATTTACTATTTGGTACAATGTAGATTAGCAAATTAATGTAATGAACTAAAAGCAAAAACCAGTGCTTACATTGGTTCCAGCTTGTAACATAAATCAACACATTGATTCATAAGACAACCATGACACACAAGTAACCTGACTAAGTGCCTAAAACAGCAAATTATGCTTAAGATTAGACCCTTCATATTATAATACTTCGTATATACCACTAACTAACATAATCTTGGTGGCTAAAAATCCTAATGAAATTTGCAAAGTAGAAATTTGGTTCTGAATTTTAAGCAAAAGTAACACAATTCTTCATTTTATTTGGGTTGAATTTGATAAGAAATGCAATTTCGTTATCCATAGAGACGACGAGTAAAGGAAGTAACACCGTGCAAGAAAAAAAACGAATAAACCAACGTTTACAAATACCACCTTCACACAGTCATTTCATCGAACAAGTGGTGGACATAACGGTGGAAAAAGAACGGCGAGAAGAAAAAAAAAAGCTTATTTGAAACAGCGAACAAAAAGCTTATCCAAATAATCTTTAATACGAACAACGAGTTTTTTTTGTTTACTTTCGAAAACAAACATTTTTCTGCAAAACGTTTCTAGTTTCAATGAAAGAAGCATAAACTCACTGAGGAATTAGTATGGGTTCGACTAAACAAAATCTCCGAGGAAGAAGAAGAAGAAGAATAAAGATACTAATAACGCAATTTCAAAGGAAAGAGCGAGAGAGAGAATATGAAAATACCAGGAACGTAATCAGAAGTAAGCTGCAAAGTTCCAGAAAGCGCCATATACAGATTCAAAGAAACGAGAAAGAGATTTAGCTTCTTCTTCTTCTTCCTCTTGCATTGGCTTTTTCCCTCTTTTGTGCTATCTCAAAATCTCTCTCTTTAACTTTTTTCACAGCTCTTTGCGTAAGCCATTTAGTATCATGGGCCGACGTAAAAAAAATCATTCTGATAATTGCAGTGTAGTAAATGGGTTGTGAACTTAGTTTTTATTTTGGACCTTCAAATAAAAGAATATAGCCCAATTTAAAACAATTCAGAAATCAAGTCTTTTGTCCCACATCGGTAGTTCTTCTTATGTTGTGTTTGTATATATACATCACAATGACAACTTCTTATCGTCGAGCTAAGTAACGAGAGCTTGTGGCCCGAGTGGGGACAATAAGATGATGGGACACTGGTTCGGGTCCACGGGTCGGGTCTGGCTTTGGCAAGATTCTGAGCTGCCCAGTCCAAGCTGAGAGTAGTTCGTGTGGCTCGAGCGAAAGCTTGAGTCAGGCGGATTCTAAAGTCGGAGGGTAATGCGTGAGGCTGGTTTCACAGAGCAGCGACTACTTCCCGCTCTCAGCAGTGGACGGATCACGGCTCGGCGCCTCCCAGTTCCACTATGGCCTGCTGGTTCGTCCTCGGTTGGACCATCATTTTTTTGGTTTTCTTCTTTTTAAACGAAATTGGATTACTTGGTTTAACTGTACCAGATTTGAATCCACTTCTGATTCCAGTTAAACCAATATTTCATTTTCCATCATTCGATTTGACGGTTGAAGAAGTTTTTATCTTTTGGTCTTTATGCACACTGTTACTCTTTCTGTAAAAGAAAACGTCTTTTTATTCCCAATAATAACTTAAACAACGGAGAAATCAGTTTTAATCTACAAGGAAGAGAACGACAAGCTACACAGCCTGCTTAAAGAGCATGCACTTGCAGCGAATATATATTTCAGGCTACAAACAAAACTCAGATATATTCGGAAAGTAAATTTTGGATTTTTCATCATTGTATGATTTATTTGTTTTCTCATATCTCAATCAAATAACGGGATTTCGCTTTGACACAGACAACACAGAATAGTGTCTCTTTATTGTGCCTTGTGATTTTTAGCCATCTCGTCCACGTCCAATTCTACTGCCAGGATTGGAGAATCTTGTCCCATTGCGGTGTGACTGATTCAAATCAATTTTTAAGAGTATAAGCAACAAAAGAGAGAGCTCAAATTTCAATGTCTGATTAAGGGACAAGAAAAGTCTGTTATTACCTGTTTCGAACAGGACCATGATCGACGGCTGTTCTCAGACAATATATAGCTCTTCCAACAATGTCTGCTGTTGAAACTGGACCAAATGTTCGACTATCATATGCTTCCTGTTTAAACACACACAAGTGAGATAAAGTCTACATAACGAGACTATAGACTACACTTTGGTCTCGCTTTAGATCATCCCAAAAATTTCCAGAAAAGGAAGAAGAAAGTGTTGTATGTATGTACCTTAGCTTTGAGCTCCTGGTTTTCGGCTATTACCCAACACTGATCCTTTTCGAGAACAAAAGGCTCCTCTTTTTCATTACCCGATACCATTTCGAATCCTTCTACAGCTGCTAATCTTCGTACCAGATACTTATCTGAATTGTTCGGGTCCTTTAAGACTACAGCATCTCCAATGAATAGATACCTAAGCACAGAATTCCAATGACTAAGCATAGATCATGTAGAGAGAGAACAAAGATCTATAGTTCACACAAACACTTGTCTGTGTCAAACTAATTTAAAGCAAGTCCATATCATTGAGTCTGTGTCAAATTAAGTAGACAGATAAGAAGAATCCTTAATACAAGTGACACTGTGTCTATAGGTTATGAGATGAAACAGACTGTGTAACAGATACGAGAAGTGGAACACCAAAGATTAAAAATTTAAACCAACAAAAAAGGGTAAAGCTTATATGAACATACCTCGTATTAGCGATAGGTATCTTACGGATAAGAAGTGTGTTTTCGTGTGCTCCCATGGTTGGGGACATTTCTCGTCCTTTATCCGAGTGTAAGTAGGTTATTTTTCCATGGAATAGATTCTTGAAGATTATTTGAATGAGTTCTCGGTCACTCAGTTTTTCTCTCCTATGACTCTACAAACATTGAGTAAAACCACAAATCATAAGTCTCCACAAACAAAGTCAGCTAAAAATGGAAACCAAAGTTAGAATATGCAGCAGAAAACGACATGGGAAAAAACGAATTACGAAGGTTATTTTGAAAACTGGAGTCAAGGAATATAGTCTTTTTTTAAATATAATTCTGATATAATGACCATTCAAATCTTAACTCTGAAGTGTACTACATCAAACATATTGTCTTCAGAGTAAAGTGATCTGCTTCAGAACAAAGATGTGAACTTTGGAAACTGTGAGTTCGATCCATGTGAATATATTTCTATAGACGCATTCAAGAACCAAAGTTAGAATATGCAGCAGAAAACGACATGGGAGATAACGAAATACGAATGTTATGAAAATTGGAGTCAAGATAAATAGTCTTTTTTTTTTAATATAATTCTGATAGAATGACCATTCAAATCTTAACTCTGAAAAGTTATAATACTACTATACCACATCAAACATATTGTCTTCAGAGTAATAGTGATCTGCTTCTTAAAAAAAGATGTGAACTTTGGTAGTAACTGTGAGTTCGATCTATTTGAATATAGTTCTATAGAAGCATTCAAGAATCAAAACCTATCAACATAAAATTGCAACGAAATAGAGCAAATCCCAAAACAAAGTAATCCCTTTTGTAACATTTCAACATCAAAGTTGTACCTTTTCCATCAAAAAACAGATATTCCTGTCTTCAATTATGAACATATTGATTCAATTGCAGAAACTAAGAAATGCCAATTGGGAGGAACAAAGAAAAACAAAAGCAGAATTCTAAGAGCATTTTAATCGGTTCCTAAAACCAATTTCCCTCAATTACAAAAAGAAAATCGAAAGCTAAACACGCAGAGGAGCGAGTGAGAGAGAGAGGAACCTTGAGACTGAGGGTGAGGGAATACTCAAGCTTGTGAGCCATGTATCTGAACCAAGTCGAGATTGAGGCCATCACCGAAACTTAGTTTTCAAAAGTGAATGCTAAGATTTTTCAAATATGGCTTCTCCGCCGCGAATTTGCCGCCGCGTCAGCCTCGTCGCCGCCGTGGTCGATAGAACAACAACAACAACCCTATGAGGCTAATGAGTAATGATGACTTACCGTTTTCATAAGAAAACCATCTAATATGATGCGTGCGTTGAAACGAAATCGGAAGCCAAAATATTTTAGAAGAATAATTGCAAAATGACCCCCGTTTTATTATATATTTTAGGTGTTCTCGCTATGTTTTACTTAGGAGCATTACATCCCTCTTCCGAATTAATGAACCGGTTACAATCCCTCTTAACGAATTTCTGTATTCAATGCCCATAATTAAGAACCGAAGCCGGTTTTGTTTTAAAACCAAATTTCTTCTAGTCAACCTATCTGAACAAACTCTTTTTTGTACTATTGTATGTTTTTTTTTTTTGTCGTCACAGGATTTCATTAAAACAAACATCTGTTACATAGGCCATTTGATTACATAATTTTGCAAAATAGTTCTAGCCTTTTTGCTAAACTATCCGCATCGTTATTAAGATTGCGTTTGATCTGCTTGAAAGTAAAACCATTTTCCTGCGCTATTCTTCTAATATCTTGTAATGCCATTGCACAAGGAAGATGTCGAATGCATGTTGGATTTGCTGACTCTTGATAATTAATGAGAGGGCCATAAATAATGCCTGAGTCACCAACAAATTTAACATCTTTATAACCAAGTCGTCGCAGATCAAAAATAGCAATGCGAAGAGCTTCAGCCTCTGCATCGTGCGGCGAGAGAGTTGGAGGGATAGCTCCAGATCCTGTGAGAAGCTGTTTACCATTTTGATCATATAGGATCCATGCTATTCCGGTTGCTTGTGATCTTGAAATCCAGGATGCATCAGTAAAACAACATAATTGCACATTGTCTTGGAAAAGTTGTTGAGAATTTTCATACCTCGTACTTGAAATCATTGCTAACTCAACCTTTGTAGCTTCCATTGCATCCTGCCATAGTTTAAAATCAAGCAACGCCTTGTTAATTATATCAGGTATGAGCCATCTTCGAGCATTGAAAATAAGCTCATTCCGATTTTTCCAGATTCTCCACCCCATCATATGAAATAGCATCATTGCAGCAGGATCATGAGCATTTAAATCCTTAAAGGTATTATAGTTTTCATAAATGTCATGAGAATTCAAATGCCCAGAGGTAGGAGAATTCAATGGTGTGAGATCCCAAACCTCTCTGCTAACACGACATTGGAACAGAAGATGATTGACTGTTTCCTCTTTTTCTCCACACATCTGACATGTACTATCGGCAAGAATCTTTTTTTGTGTAAGTTGCTTTGCCACAGGGAGAGCGTGATGAAAAGACCTCCACCAGAAATTCTTTACTTTCGGAGGAACATTCTGCTTCCAAAGGAATCGGTACAAATGTGTAGGTATATTAGATGACTGCCCTCGAGTATTTCTTAGGAGATTGTAGCCCGACTTGACTGAATATCCTCCATGAGATGTATGTATTCAGCTGATATCATCCATTGCTCTAGATAGAAACGGCTTAATTAATTTAATCAACGGGATATCAGATGGCTCACATAGTTTTGCTAACTTCAGTTTATTCCATCGATTAGTTCCTTGAACAAGAAGGTACTATTGTATGTTTAATATTTCCCTTATTGATAAACCTTTTTTATTGTCAGATATACATTTAACCATCTTCTTTTGTTTTTGATCGAAACTATATATATTGTGTCATTAAGAAGATATATCCGTAAGTCTGTCATAATATACTTATACTTAAAAAGGAAAAATCCTAGTAAGTAACGATAAAAACAAGAAAATGAATTAAACTTTGCAGACGAAGCAAATCAGATAAGTAGAAGAATAAAGGAAAAAACTGATGAAAACTAAACCTATGATTTACGAAATATTCAAAAGATAAAAAAATGGAAATATATTGTTGAAAACAAAAAACAGCAAAAGGAAAAATAAGGAAATTCAGATTAGACACGGTCATTAGGAATATCAATAGACGCTAGGAATTATCCAAATATACAAATCTCTAATAGGAAAAGGAATTAGCTCTCGACCGACACCTCAGGCTCTATTATATAAACATCGAAGTGCCCTCTCAACTTCTCACAAATCAAACTCAATACTTTCATCAACCTCTTCCAAAGTTTTTGTTTTCTTTTGCTGCTTTTATTATTTCTCTCGTTCCAGAAAAAGAAGAACCAAAACATCAACGATGGCTTTGATCAAGTGCAAATCCTTCTTGGCTTCTCTGTTGGTTCTTGTGGCACTTTTGGGAGTTGCCGTGGGAGGAACCGTTCACAAAGTCGGTGACTCGAACGGATGGACCATGATGGGCGTGGACTACGAAGCTTGGGCCTCTTCAAGAACTTTTAAAGTCGGAGACTCTTTAGTCTTCGAATACAACAACGAGTACCACGACGTCACTCAAGTCACTCCCAACAATTTCGAGCTCTGTGAACCGTCTAACCCGTTAACCACATACCAAACCGGTTCTGACACGGTTAAACTAACCAAACCGGGAGTTCAAAACTTTATATGCGGAGTTCCTGGTCACTGCGACGCAGGTCAAAAACTTCAAATCCACGTCTTACCAGCCTCGTTGGGTCCCGTTGCAGCTCCCGTTCCTAGACCGGTCCGATCACCAAGTTCTTCTTCGTCTCCTTCAGCCTCGTTGGTTCCCGTTGCAGCTCCGGTTACTAGACCGGTCCAATCACCAAGTTCCTCTTCGTCTCCTTCGCGGGCCAATGCTCCACAGTATCAACATCAGATTGCTCCATCACCTCTTCAAAGCGGTGCCTCGAAGTTAGTTTCTTGGATCGGCTTCAGCTTGTTGGCTTTGATTTTGGCTTTCTAATTTCTTCTTTAGTTATTGAGGTCTTGCTTCTTTCTTTTTTTTTTCTTCTTTTGTTAGCGGGTGACGATTTTTATTGTTGAACAATGAACACCGGATGTTTTCTTGCGTTACTCTATAAATTAGGTTGTGTTTCTTTACAATTCTATTTGGTTAATTGGCTTATACGTTAATGCGATCAGTTTTTGAATTTATTGAAAACAGACGTAAATTTCTTTTCAGAATGGATTAGTGATAGTATAAAGGTATTGATCTTTATAAAGAAAAGAAGACTAAACAAACATTCTCATATCACACAAAGAAGGAACATAACAGATTTATAAAAAAATTAATGTAAAGCTTTACTAGTGAAAGAATCATTAAATTCAATTTTTTGGTTTTATCATCTTTAGTATATGAAGCATATTTCTGTTTATGTAATAATTTTGTATTTTCGTTTTGTAATCTATGAATGATGATTAGCCAAATTGTTTTTTTGAAGAACAATTTGATATATACAATATTTAATGCTAACGTATGGTGTGTAGGTTTATTGTTCTTTTGAAAAAAATTGAATTTATATTACCAACTTTGGAACGAGGTTAATTAGAGTTAGTTACAAAAGCGTTTAAAGAACGGAATTTCATTCGCTAAAAAAAAGTTAAAAAAACCAAGGATGGAACTATGAGCAACAAGTAGCTGAGCTAGTGATGAGCAAACCATATATAAGAGTCTGCCACAATCTTAATTTACGATATCATGTTTGTTGGTTATTGATGATATTGTTTTTAACTGTACTTGCAAATTAAATGTTATTATGTGTAGTTTTGTTAGAATAGCTATTTGAACTTAGTTGTATGTGTATTCCTCATTAACTAATTTCATATTCATAGAATTACTTAAAATCCATTTATTTTCCACAGATTTCAGGGGTTCAATATTAGTAGGTAGGTAAGGTTTTTAAAAAAGGGAAATTGTATAATTTCAATAGGGAGATTGTTGACAAAAGAAAGAAAAAGGGAAATTTAAATAGGGAAATTGTAAACGATCATGGTTTACATCTCTTTCATACAGAAAAAAGGAAAGAAAGTACCAAAAAGCTGAACATCACTACGAATTATCCAAATCTCCAAAAGGAAAAAAGAGTACTTCTTATCGAACCCTCGGTTCTATATAAACACTCTTAGGGGCTCATTAATTAATTTCTCACCAAACATACTCAATACTCTTACATAATCTCTCTCAAACCAGTTTCTCTCTATTCCAAGAAACAAGAACGACCAAACATCAATCATGGCTTTGAACAAAAGCAAATCCTTCTTCTTCACTTTTTTGCTGATTCTTGTGGCACTCTTTGGAGTTACCGTTGGAGGAACCGTTCACAAAGTTGGCGACTCAAAAGGATGGACCATGATGGACGTCGATTACAAGGCTTGGGCTTCGTCAAGAACTTTTAAAGTCGGAGACTCTTTGGTCTTCAAATACAACAACGAGTACCACGACGTCACTCAAGTCACTCCCCATGATTTCGAGTTGTGCGATCCGTCTAAACCGCTAACGAGATACCAAACCGGTTCTGACACGGTCACTCTAACCAAACCGGGATTCCACCACTTTATATGCGGTGTTCCTGGTCACTGCGACATAGGACAAAAGATTGACATCCTCGTCTTACCGGCTTCGTTGGGTTCAGTGGCTGCTCCAGTTCCTGGACCGGTCCAATCACCAAGCTCCTTATCGGCTCATCATCAGATGGCTCCATCGCCTCTCCAAAGCGGTGCCACAAAGTCAGCTTCTTGGATCGGCTTTAGCTTATTGGCTTTAATCTTCGCATATTGTTATTAAGAATTAAAATTTAGCTTTCTACTTTTTTTTTTTGGGCTACTCTAACTAATTAGGTTTCGCTTGCTAGTATAATTCTTTTTTTTGTTTAGATTACTTCGTTAATGTATTTTTTATTTAATGAAGAACATAAATGAAATTCTTTTATCCTCAAAATATTTGTTTCACCAAAATATCACAAGTGACAAAATATGTTATTAATATTTATTTTTGTGAAGAAAACGTTGAATTAGAAACATTAACAAAGTCCTGACAGAAGCCCTAGGATAGTTTGTTTCCAAAAGGAATGGTCATTGAAATAATCTAACAAAACTAAAATTAATTCTATATTTCATAAAAAAATTATGACACGTTGTAACAAAAATTGAACCCAATATTTTTTAGAATAATAAATTCAGAATGATCCCATTCAGTATTATACAATTTCGTTAATTAGTCCCTACGAATGAGTAAAACCGAGAACGTATTGAGATTTTTGAGTAATAATCTGGATATTTTTTTATGTAGCTATCTTACATCGAATGATTAGTATCCAAGATATATATATAAAAAATTGGACACACAAGAAATCTAACGAAACTCACAATTATGCTTGACATGTATATCATGTATGTGTTATACCTATTTCCTATAATAAATATGAAACGTTTGTGATTGCATATGAATCCAACCGTGGAAAGGAATCAACATAAATCCCACTTGCGTGCCACGTGTTGAGATTACAAAAAGCAGATGTTTCACTATTTTCTTTATAAAATAATGAATGGGTCCATAAATAATCGGGAAAAATAATTGTCAACGCAATCTCTGGGCCCCGAAAAAGACGAAACCGGGTGGGTATTTTTAACCCGAACCCGGAGTTTCCTGTAAAAGAGAAAGAGAGAGAGCCTGCTTTAAAAGTTTTCTTTTGCCATTGCTTGCTTCATCGCTACAACTTACTCTATCTCTCTAATCTTTCACGAAAACCCACAACAACAAAAAATAATCTCAATCGAGTGAGAAACCAGAATTCGTTTTGATCCCCTTGTACGTTGCTTTGAGGTTAATGATCCGTCTCTCTCTCTTCTCTCTTTATCTTATCCTAAAGGTTATTCTTTTGTTTATTTTTATTTTTTTCAATTCCTGATTGATTGCAAAAGAGGTTTTTCCGGGTTTTAGGGTTTTTCTTCTCTTCTTCTTCTATCTGATCACGTTTTTCTTCCCTCGTCGCGAATTTTCTCCTTTTCCACGTTTTAGGTTGCGAAGTTCACAAAGTAAGCTTCTCTCGCCGAGAAAATTGGTTGATTTTCGTAACTATTTTTAATGTTTTTTTTTCCAGATTTTTGTAGCAAGCTTGAATTTTTAAAATCCCTCAATTTCAACTTCGCTTACATGTTAATTTCTTTTGTTCGTTTGTTGATTGAAGACTTAGTTGATTTTTAGAAGCAACGAGCTGTTAGTTTAATGATCTGGACTCTCTGGAGCTTTTGTCACATGATCCTTGATTTCTCCATGTTCAATTTGGTGTTGAAAACTTGAAACTTTCTATTTCTGGGTTTTCAAATTTTTGTTAATTATAAACCTAGAGCAATAGAAACATGTGATACAGAGAGATAGCTTGTTGCTGCAGTAAAAAAGATCATACTACATAGGATACAGGGTATGTTTATATTATCTCCTAAGGAACTTGTTTAGGTTGGAAGAAAACTTCTAAAAGGCTCCTAGGATTTGGGGGAAAATCGATCATTAGTGGATACGCCTATGCAAGGGTTAGCTTAGAAGTTGCATTAGCCATGTTAGCTTGGATAATCTCTTTGATATAATGGCCAAAGCAATTGTCTTTTTTTTTTTCTCTTATATGGACATCAACTTAAGTTGACATGTAGCTCTTTCTTCTCTTTTGCAATCCTGTTTTCTCTGATTAAAGAACCGATGTTGTGTGTACGATACTGTATATGCTTTTAATATCTCTGAATTTTCTTTTCGTTGGAACTCTTTTTCCGTGACAGGAACCACACAAGAACGTTCTTGGATTGAGAGAAATAAATGGCTTTTAAAGGTATAACATGGGTTGGGAATGTGTACCAGAAGTTTGAAGCAATGTGCTTGGAGGTTGAAGAAATCATCGTGCAGGTAATTTGCTTTGTTGTGATTGTTTACCACGATGATTTTAGTTTGTTTGACTCTTGGTTTGCTTCTTTATGGTCTTTAGGACACAGCAAAATACGTGGAGAACCAAGTTCAGACAGTTGGAAACTCTATGAAGAAATTCTGTTCGGATGTGGTTGGAGATTTTCTTCCCGATGAATCTGTAGGTTCGGAAAAACCGTTACCGGTTTCTATGTTACATGAATACGCTCCTGTTTGTTCCTTTAAAAAGAAAAGAGAGAGCTTGAACCGAAAAACCAGAGATGTGAAGCAAGAACAAGAGGTATCTGAGGGGAAGAAGGATGGATGTGAAATGAAATTCCGTGGTCTTGATGCAGATGATTACGATATCTGTACTTCTCCAAGGCAGTATAGTTATGGAGGTCCATATAGAAGAACAAGACTAGGTCGCAAACAAATCTATAAAAATGAGGAGGTTTTTCAAGTCACCAGGCCTTCTTATATACAGAAAGACTCAAGTAGCTTATCCATGGTTCATAGATCTCGTGTCAACAATGATGTTGGAGCTGTAAAGTCAAGTGATTCTCCTCCAGTTGAAGTAGAAAGACTCATCTCTAAAGAGGAATGTCAGAAAGACGATAGAACCGAAAATCAACACGGTCTTACAGTGGTTAATTCTGTTAGAAGTCAAGACTCAGAGACTAGAACCAAGAAGGAGCATGGTCTTACGATGGTTGATTCTGTTCGAAGTCAAGACTCAGAGACTAGAACCAAAAATGAGCACGGTCTTACTATGGTTAATTCTGTTAGAAGTGAAGATTCAGAGATTGGAATCGAGAATGAGCACGGTCTTACTGTGGTTAATTCTGGTAGATGTCAAGATTCAGAGATTCAAACATCTGTTTCCACTAGCTCACCTGCAGGATCTGATGGTAAAGTTTCTGCTTTTTGTTTCTCTTTTCCTTCTCTATCGTCTCTTTTGAACTATGGAATCTGAAAATAGGTCTTTGTACAATCATACACAACACATAGGTTGTGTATCATTTAGGAACTTAGTGATCATGTGATCCCTTATCATTGTTTGTTGCTTGCATTGAGAATGGAATGCAAAAGGATGAAAATTGCTCAAGCTTTGAATCACTTAAATCTTGGTTATGGTTTCTTCTTTTCAGATTGCAGAAAGGAAACCAATGAGAATTCGATGGAAACAAGTTCGAGTTCTGTCTCAGAGCAGAAATCAGAGATTCTTCAAGAGCTTAGTGAGGGAAGATCACTTGAAGAAAGCTGCATCATTGTGGATAGAGACGAACTCCATTGTGTTTTTCCTGACAGGAAGGAGAATGACAAACACAAACCTTACAAGGTTCATGTCTCTTCCTTTTCTCTCTTTTCTTTGTTTCACGTTTGCATTTGATCATCACGCGGAAAGTAACAATTGCCTTATAAATAAACTGTTTATACAGAAGATCAGAGACGCTATATCCTCAAGAATGAAGCAAAACAGAGAGAAAGAATACAAACGGCTTGCACGTCAATGGTACGCAGAAGATGTCGAAAATGGCAGAGAATGCAGCGAAAATCCGAAACCGGTAGAGGAAAACCGATCATCAGAAGAATCTGAATGGGAGCTTCTGTAAAATGTTAATGGCACTAGTTACACATAATATAAGCAAAAGTAAGCACTGGCTTTGTAATTAAAGAATGTATAAGCAAAACATAAGAAGCAGCTTAAAAGGCTTCCTCTGGCTCCGATAATAAATAAGGCCCTTGTGTTAATTTATCAAACTCTTTTATGATTTCAAGTACATTATAAACTGTTTGCACTTGTGAAGACTTGTGGCAAAAAAAGTCTTTCCCATGGTGGTTGTGTAATAATTGTTTTCTCGTTTCGTCTATTTCACATTTCCAATTTGTTCCATAAGAAGGACCACTCCACTTCATTTTCCTTATCTCTTCAAAAAGGAAACTCTAGTCATTTTCGCAGATAATTTTCGAAGAATTCAGTATCCGGCAAACCCCTATAAAAGTATCTTCGGCCTCGACTTATTATTGTGCAAATTTTTTTTTCTTAGTTTCTTGTTTTTTATATGTTGGCAAGAGACAAAAACAATACTTTTAATCTTTTTTTAAAAACGAATAACTCGGCGGTTGAAGTAATTATGAATTTGTTGATGAATGAATACTTGCTACTGGGATTTTGTTTTCGAATAAATGAATAATCACAGCTTGTTAATGAAGGTATGTATAATCATTAACAATTTGAATTAGAAGATGAGCCCAATGAGTGTGGAATTGATGCTTACAGAAGTAGTTATATTTGTTTCCATATTAATTTGTATAAGTAATTAAAATTGAAACAGTTAGATTCAATGAATTACCTAAATCAGAGTCATCAGATAAAAGCATTGTTAGGTGTAGGGTTAATAAGGTTACTTGTAAGAAAATGAAAATAAAAATTTGATCAAGTTTTGGGAGTAAGTGGTGGTCGAGTTGGCAAAAGCAAGCCACCCTAAAACCCATCATAACATGTGCAAATTGAAACTATATATATACATCATCCTTGTCTTTTCATTGTCTTACAACATGCGTTTTAACCAATGGCTGCGCAGATCAAATATATACCGTTAAAAAAAAAGATTAAAATAGGTTTATGAAAATGAGAGAGATATGATTGATGTAAAATAAACGAATCTCGAAGTATGAAACTAATATTCCTTCAATAACCGATAGGTCTGATACGTGAATCTTGTAGTGACATTAATGTTTTCGACTTATTTTATACTAGCTGGATATCTTATAGGAGTTGAAATTTTTAGTGTTTTACTTTGATTTACTTCAAATGTATCCTTTTTAGTCTATTATGAAATAACCTTGATTATAAAAGAAGCTATCGTCTGATAATAATGAAATTTTGATCTGATTAAAATATAGTTTTATTCGGTTTGTCAGGTTTCATTTCTGTAAGAAACCCACTTTTTATTCAGTGTAATATTAAAAATATTGTGCGGGAATATTATAAAAATTAATATTAAATTATTTTCTGGTTAATTATTAAATCTTGATTTGGATATGTAGAACTAACTGGCTAGCAAAAAAAGTATGGTTCAATTTCAATGAATCTATTTCGGTTCAATTTAATTTTAAACTACCTTTATCAGCTCTTAAAGTATATCGTTTTTTTTACCAATCTCTTAAAGTATATCTTAAGCCTAAAGATTGTCACAACTGAAATAAATATGTATATGTGTACCCAGAATGAAACAAGAAAGGTAAACAAGAAAACTCACTGTAGATAGATATAAAATACTTGTTATCTATAAAAAGCTTGCGGCTTGAAGAATAAGCTGATCATTCTTTCTTGGCGACCCAAAAAGAAAATGGGACTCTGCTTCCAACCCATCTTAGCCTCTCTGTTTCTCATACTCTTCTCTTCATTTTCTAAAATATTAGCACAATCTCAAGAACATTTCTTGGGACAAAACAACAAAACTTTGTTGAGTGAAGAGAGATCATGCAATTGGTTTAGAGGCAAATGGGTCTATGATTCCTCATATCCTCTCTATAGTCCTTTTTCTTGTCCCTTCATCGACTCCGAATTCAATTGCCAGAAAGCTGGTCGACCTGACACTAACTATCAACACTTCAGATGGCAACCTTTCTCATGTTCTCTTCCACGGTACTTAACTACTAAACTTTTTAACTAGTTATAAGAAAAACTAAGGTTTCGAGTGTTTCAAACGCTTGTTTTTTGTGTTTGCGTTTCATATATAAAAACATATTTCATTATTGTTATAAAGACAAACGTTTATTGTTGTTTTAACTACTTTCATAATCAACAAATGGGTTTAGTTTAAGACGGTATAGATTATAAGTTCATTTGGAACCATGTCAACTAATATATGTATAGTAAAAATCAAGATTTCGAACAAAACTAATATATGTCTTGTATTTGTCTAAACAAAACGTAATTGAAGTTTATAAGAGAAAATTTTCTCATATGAGAAATTAACAAATACATTAGTAAATGAAATGAATTTACAGATTCGATGGGGCGAATTTTATGAGGAGAATGAGAGGGAAGAAGATAATGATGGTTGGTGACTCACTGAGTCTTAACATGTTCGAATCGTTGGCATGTTTGCTCCACGCCTCTCTCCCTAATGCTAAGTACTCTCTACGTCGAAGCCAACCTCTCACTTCCCTCACTTTCCAGGTTTTCTTTTTGTTCATTTTTGTTTTCTCTTATTTTCTCTGTTTTTTTTTGTTTTCTCTTTTAATAACTTCACTTAAAAGTAAGCGTTTCATAGAACTACTTTTGATTCGTTGATATTTTTGGTCATTCTTTCTTGATTTTACAAAAGATTCTAGCTTTATCAAGTGAACGCCGAAGAACAGAAGAAAGTAGAACCTACTTAAATTATTAATTTGTAGAAAAGAATTTGTTGATTTGTACAGTCATCGCCAAGTGTCCTGCCTTTATAGAGCTTAATGATTTATCTTCAATCTAGTCAGAAATTAGCGCAAATAACACATTTTCTAAGTTAATTAATGATAATAATTACATATTGAATCATTTGTTTAAAATTTCACATTAACTAAAGTCAATGATAGAAAGGGTCTTATGAGTTTTGACGTCTCCTAGAGTAAATTTATTTTAGAAAATGAGATTGCTAGATAAACGGCAAGGAGAATAAATTTAAGATGAACTATTTGGATTGAAGTAAACATCATTTACCAATGAATCTAATAGGTATTAACCATATAAAACTTGACTCCAATCTAGGACTTTTAAATAGTAATGTTGTATCCATTTTCAATTCTTTTCGATTGGCTCTCTTTTGGTTTTAGGCATTTAATATTACATAAAAAAAATTCCTGCAAAGTGCCAGCATGCATGATAATGCTATGTCAAACGAAGATCAGATACGTAGCTATGTTAGTTTCCTTTGAGTTTGGGGTTCGATAGATGAAACACTTGTCATATAATGACATTTGGAAAAGAAAAAAGGATACCCTATATAATATATGAGATTTGACTGCGAAATATTCCACATTGATGTTGAAAAAGAGTTCCTACAACGTCACCATCTAATTTTTCTTTTGAAAATAATTCTCTTTTTAAATTTAGTTTGCTTAAGATAATCCTACTAAATACTTTCGCAATGTGTGAGGATATTAAACTTGTGGTCAAGACAAAGGTAATGAGAATTACTATATGGATCATTCTGACATAAGTCGTACGTAGTTATTAATTGAGCTTTCTAAGAGACTTCTCAATAGAACCAATCATAAACGACAGATTGGATCATCAATTAAGACACCATGTACAAAATGATTTTGATAACCACTTAGGTCAATGTCTCCTTCTTCATTGTCGTTTTCTAATCACCACACTGTATAATAGTAAATTAATAAGTGGGCCGTCACGAATTTTATTAATTATTTTACTTAATATTAAATGTTTTTGGGGATCTCTTCCGTATTTTGACATCTCCACAGTGACGAAACAGTGACAAGTCTGTCTTCGTTAAGGGAGGCTGACTTCAATCTCTAGGTTCTTCTTTAGGACCTTGGCTTACGTGTCTTTCTCTCTTTTGGCTTAAGAAAATTCATTCGACGGCATGATAAGAGTATATTTTAAAAATTAAAAGTAGTATTTCCGTTTTACATCATTTCACTATCTTTGAAGATTAATTTTACATCATACACACGAATATTAAGTTCTTTTCCTACGAATGTCTCACTCTAATTATTTGAAATGTTACCGGAAGTCCTGGTAGTATGAATTGTTTGGATAACAGTTATGTGCCAGATGTAAATTTTAGCTACACAAACACAATTTGACATAATGAATTCTTGTTCCAAACGTGTAAAGAAAATAAATATCCAAATATTCATTTAAAAAAGGATTAAAATCAATTTATTTCATTTGATGTATGAATGTATCTATCTTGTTTATTTTTTATATGCTAGTTAATTGATTGATTATATGCCATTGTATTGTCAATAATAATAATTATATATCTAGAAATATATAATGTAATCCAGATGTAATATTGGCAGGATTATGGAGTGACAATACTTCTGTACAGAACACAGTTTCTAGTAGACGTGGTTCAAGAAAAGGCAGGAAGAGTGCTTGTGCTCGACTCCATCAAACAAGCCAACGCATGGCTTGGCATGGACGTTCTGATCTTCAACTCGTGGCACTGGTGGACTCACACCGCCGGAATCCAGCCGTATGATCACATTAATGAATAAACCTCCTCTTAATTTCTTTCTCTTTTGACAATTTTCTTTTTGTATATGTTTTTGATAATGGTTGGTAGGTGGGATTATATGAGAGAAGGAAACAAGTTGTACAAAGACATGAACAGGCTTGTGGCTTATTACAAAGGACTAAACACATGGGCTCGTTGGATCAACCACAACATTGACCCTTCACGCACTCAAGTCTTCTTTCAAGGTGTTTCTCCTGTCCACTTTGAGTAAGTTTTCTTTTATTCTCTCCCCCTCTCACTTCATCTAAAATAATGGAAGCTCACATCAGAAAATTTAATCTAAACATTAACTGTCTTGAAATATACATTTACATTTTGTATGGTAAGCCGATGAATTTTGACATTTACATTTTCAAAACATTAACTGTGTCTTGAAATAGCGGAAGAGAATGGAACGAGCCATTGAAGTCATGCAAGGGCCAAACTCAGCCGTTCATGGGACAAAGATATCCAGGAGGATTGCCCTTAGGTTGGGTCGTGGTTAACAAAGTGTTGAGCCGAATCAAGAAACCGGTCCGTCTTCTTGATCTCACTATTCTCTCGGAGTATCGCAAGGACGCTCATCCAAGTCTCTACAATGGTATCACAAAGGCTCTAGATTGTAGCCATTGGTGTCTCCCTGGCCTACCTGACACTTGGAATCTACTTCTCTACGCATCTCTTACTTCATAGTTCTCGTTTTACATATTTTGATTGTTCTACCATTTTATGAATAATTTGTGGGATTCTTGTGATTGTGATTGTGATTGAGAGTTTCAATGTAATTAATTTCTCCATATATTTGTTACATTATTTTCATTTCTTCTCCAACCCATTATAACGTGCGTTCACTTTAAAGTCATTTAACAGAAGGCAAAACTTATGTGAACGGCATGTATTAAGGACCAATACTTCACGCATTATCCAAACATTTGAAAACTCCAACAAATTTGACGAGGCCACAAAGTGGAGGAGGAAGAGGTTTGGATCAAAAGAAAAGTGAAAATGGTGGGAGACATCGCTAAGAGATGGAAGGAATTGAGCGGAAATAGCAAATGGAAAGACTTGCTTGATCCTCTTGACTTGGACCTACGTCGTTACATCCTACACTACGGCGACATGGCTGAAGTCGGTTACGTTGCCTTTAACAGTGACCGCCGATCAAAATATGTAGGAGATAGCTGCTACACCAAGGAAGAGCTCTTTGCTCGAACCGGCTACCTTAAAGCCAACCCTTTCAGGTAAACAACGTATCCACTTACTTGCATTATACGGTTTCGGTTTTACAGATTATGAAATGGTATCATCATCCAGGTACGAGGTGACTAAGTACATATATGGAACGTCGTCGATAAGGTTACCGGAATGTTTCATAATCAACTCATTGTCAAGAGAGGCATGGAACAAAGAGTCTAACTGGTTAGGTTACATAGCGGTGGCTACAGACCAAGGCAAAGAACTGTTAGGGAGGAGAGACATTGTTGTAGCTTGGCGAGGGACCATTCAGCTGTACGAGTGGGCTAATGATTTTGATTTCCCACTCGAACCAGCTATCTCGGTTTTTCCTAAAACTGACCCTAATGACCCGAGTGATCCCCCTCGCATTGCCAATGGTTGGCTTTCTCTTTACACAACCGCTGATCCACGGTCGCGTTTCGACAAGACCAGTGCACAAGAACAGGTCTCTCAAAAAACCCTTGTTCCCTTAACTAACTTCATATCTGACTTAAGGCTTGACGGGTTCTGCCCAAACTCATCACTAGCTTAGGCTCGAGCCATTACATTCCGAAACTAAAAAAAGAGCCAACCACAAGGGTCACTGCAGAGTTTTGGCCGGACATAACATTCCTATATGTAACATGATTCGGTTTATTACTTCTCGTTCCATTGGTTTGGCTCTGTTTTGGGTTTCAGGTTCAAGGAGAGCTCAAAAGGTTATTAGAGTTATACAAAGATGAAGAAGTTACCATCACCTTAACAGGCCATAGCTTGGGAGCAGTTCTCTCGATTCTATCAGCCACAGACTTTCTCCATAACGAATGGCCTAAGACCACAACAAGTCTTCAAGACAGGCTTTCTTGCGTTACAGTTTTCGCTTTCGGGAGTCCACGAATCGGCGATCTCAACTTCAAAAGACTCGTCGAGTCTTTGAAAAAACTCAACATCTTAAGAATATCAAACGTACCGGATCTCATCCCGCGTTATCCGGTATTCAGGTTCGCAGATATCGGCGAGGAGCTTCAGATCAACACGTTGAAATCAGAGTACCTGAAACGGTCTCTGAACATAAAGCATTTTCATAACCTGGAGGCTTACCTGCACGGAGTGGCAGGGACACAGCAAAATCAAGGGGAGTTTAAGCTGGAGATAAACCGGGATATAGCGCTGGTCAATAAGGGTTTAGATGCTCTTGAAGATAAGTACTTAGTGCCTGATCATTGGTGGGTTCTTGAGAACAAAGGGATGGTTCAAAGAGATGACGGGACATGGATGCTTAATGGAGATAGGGAAAAGGAAGGTGAAGAAGTTGAAGAAGACGAATACGAATTACCATGAATATAGCAACAATACATGTAAGAATCTGGCAAACCCTTTTGAAGCAGTAAAAGAAGAAGAAAAATGTTGTTATTTATGCACACAAGAACAATAAAATCAGAGGCAGCAAAGCTCAGTTTTTTTATTCACCAGTACATGAAAATCAAATCCAATAACAAGATAAAATCTGTAACAATAGAAAGTGGATTATTTATTTACATGGAAGAAGAAGAAGAACAAATCTAGAAGAAGATCAACAAGGTATAGTGGATGTGAACCATTCCATAACATGAATTGGGGCTTTGATCAACCCTAAAGCCATCTCCACCAGTATAGTCACGCATAAGCAACAAGGACATATGCATGATAACAACAATCTGCCAGAAAAAAAAAAAAACAAATTCGCCAGAATCAGAAGCTAAGTGACGAATTTGATGATCCCAAATTTCTAATTAATCGACTCAACGGAAACCAAATTTCGAATTTCAAAATTGTAAAATCTAAGATTAGCACCAAGATGTGAAATCAGTGAGATAAGAGATTCCGAAACACGAAATCTCGGTAATTAACAGCATTGTTACTTAAAGGATCAAGGACGAAATTAGTAATAGGAGGAGAAATCGAAAGTAGGAGAAGAGGAAATATATCGGGGGAGGAGAGAACTGACCCGACGATCCAGATGACGACGCCGACGATGGAGAGAAGGAGAGAGAGGAAGGCGAAAGGGAGGCCTAAGAGGAAACCGAGAGGACGGCAGTCATCGTCGCAGCACATGGTGGCTCTCCGGCGAGTTTTTCGGCTTAGTATTATTCTACAGTCGTAATGAGTCGTCTTCTGAAATTTCTGGTATTTGAGAGCGACGCGGTGGTTGCTGCAACTAACGCGTACCTTTTTCTCTCTTTTAATTAATTTCCATGATAAAATAGTCATAAATATAATTTAATCAATTATTTCTTTGTAAGAATTTGACCATCCGAAAATAGTAGATACAGTAAAACCTCTATAAATTAATAATGTCAGAACCATAATATTTTATTAATTTATCGTGATATTAATTTATCTATAAATTAATAATTATTAATTTATAGAGAAAATTTACTTTCTATTTATAATTTTTAAAAACGTTTTTGGAATAGTGTTATATTTTAAAATTATAACAAATTTTATAATATAAATTATGATTAACAATCATAACTATTGCAATAAAATAGTTTTTAATATCATATTGGATTGTCCATGTAAAAATATACATGTTCATAAGTTTAAAATTTATAAAAAAACTATGATTACTATTCGTATTATTGATGATAACGTTGAAGATAACACTACAATACATACAAAAACTTTTATATGTAAGAAAATCAATTATCATATCAAAAATCATCATAAATTTTGAATATATATAGTAAAACACTAATAAGAACAACTTATATAATAATTATAAAGATAAGATCCAATGAGATTTCAACCTTAAGTCAAAGCAAAGACATTAGTCATATTTTAGAATATTATATTTACATATATTTGCATAATTTTATATAACTATTAATGTTTTGTTTTGTTGGGACCATATATTAATATAGGAGTTTCAAAAAAATTATTATCTTATTATCTTATCGAATTTGATAGAATTTTACATTGCCCCAATTTAGAACCAGCAAAATTTATTAATTTATAGTGATTATTAATTTATCGAGTATTAATTTATCGAGGTTCTACCGTAGTAAAATTCGACATCCTATTTTCGATATATTACATACTAAATTTTCATTTTTGACAGCTATTACATGATTTATTTTTTAATACAAACAAGATTTGTTCTGTACCTGAAGGTTTTTAATATTTACTATAAAAAAATCAAAGTCAAAACACTAAAAGAAACATAAGTAGTCTTTATTGATTTAGTGCATTCCCAGAAGTAAAAATATAGCATATAAGTAAAAAATATAATATTACTTTGGTAACGACTATGTTTAGTCTATCTTAAGCATCCATAATATCTCAGGATTTTATAAAAAAGAAAAAAAAAACTTTCAAACGAAAAATTTACAAAATTACATTCAACATTGTCTTAAAAGAGCATATCAACCTGGTTATTTTCCTATCCTCACGAAACGTCTTCCTTTTTCAGTGATTTAAGCATTAGGTAATGCCGTAATGATATGTGTGTTCAGGTCAAACCCGTAGAATAGTCGTTGTGCATAATCAACATATACGACAAGTGTATTTTTTGTTTTTTTTTGGATTTTAAAACAGTGTCCTTTTAAATATATATTATAATCGATCTAAAAATAATATCCTTTTCATAAAAAAAATTAATGATCTTTTTCTCTTATCGATGCAGCGCATATTAAGGATTTGGGCCTTTAACGACGAACACGTCTGTTGGGCCTTACGTGTTCGTCTTGTTTAGATATAATCATATAGGTTTTCTTTATTTAAAAGGATAATTATAAATACTTGTAAATTAGGATGAAGAGATACGATTTAGATCTCCTTAGTGTTGTATAAATAGGATGTTCTACAGCTTTGTAAATGACAACTTTTGATATTGAACAAACTTTGAGCTTTCATAGCTAAACGAGCTTTTGTAGCACGGGGAAGAGTATTCCCAACCCTTATCGATTTAAACAAAGATCTTCTTCGTTTATTTCAAATCGTTTATTTCAAATCGATTATACACGAATCCTCTAAGAATCTTGTGCATATTCGTTATCTCGCTTCCACCTCTCCATCACTTATTAAGACAGATTTTATTAATTAAATAATGTAGAACAATTAAGAGATGTTTAACTTGAGTAGATCGAATCTTAGGCAAGCAAGAGTTTGCTTTGTTCTGACGCTTATACTAAAATGGAAATAAAGTAGAGGGGATGGGTGGATGTATCTGTGCGACGACGTAGCAGTCTCCTAGACGGCTAGACCACATTTATTTTAATTATTTACTAACAAACATTGGTTTATCTTTCTCCTATGACCATCCATGGACTCACTGACTCACACACACCTTTAAAGAGTGGTAAAGTCTCCAACCTCACAACAAGTAAAATTCTCAACAAAAACACAGATAAATTACTATATTTGAAAATAATAAATACTCTGTGTAACTAAGTGAGCTAAAAATACATTTATAAGAAAGGAAGGTGACTGTTGGAAATGTTTCCACAAACACAATGCTGTGCATCACAGCCTGAGCTAGAACTGTTGATAACAAGCTTGTGTTATGCAGAGACTAAAAGTAGTAAGTATTGTTATTATGGACTATTGTTAATGTAGGTGTGAAGATTATCGGCTTAATCTTCTTCTTATGTTCCGATTAAGAACTCAATCCTTTGAGAATTGATTTAACGAGAAAGAGATGTAAAGAACTTAAAAAAGAAAGAACACGAGATTTTAGGAGTTCACGTCCTTAACCGGAACGCTACGTCTCCCCGGTGAAGATCCACCGGAATCCACTATCAATACGGCAAACTCGCCGGAGTCGTTTACAGATCGTCTCTCTCTCTTCCCTCTCTCTCTCTGTAACGGCTAGTTGACTAAACAAAACTTCTCGTCAACACCCAAGAAGGAAGACGAGCTTTATATCTAGCTCATAATACAAACGACGTATCAGAGATCGACACCTGTCTAAGTGGACCTAACTTAAGACTCTCTCTTTTCACTAGAGTCTTTTCCACACTTAAGCTATATTAGCTAAACTAAGTGTTCTTTACTCGATTCCACATAAACTTGTGAAGATCGCTTGATGATCATGTCTACACACTTCAAATCTCCACCTTAGACACGATCATCAGAGCTTGCTTGGTGGCATCATCTTGCACTCTTGACCGAGCACCACTGCATCCTGGACCGGATGCAACTTTAATTCTTTCCCACTCGAAGCATCTGCAATGCTTCCTTTAGTTTGTAAACCGGAAGAACTTTGGTAAGCATATCCGCAGGGTTGTACTCAGTTCCAATCTTCAGCACTTGAACCTCTCCACAATTGATTAAGTCTCTGATGAAGTGGTACTTTGTGGCAACATGCTTAGTCCTCTCATGGAAGACAGCATTTTTAGACAAAGCAATTGCGCTTTGTGAATCACAGTAAATCTGCACTGAGTCCTGAGGAAATCCAAGTTCTTCTGCAAATCTCTTTAGCCATACTCCTTCTCTCACAGCTTTTGACAACGCTACATACTCGGCTTCCGTCGTAGATAGGGCCACAACCTTTTGGAGAGAAGATCTCCAGCTAATAGTATTTCCACCTGCGGTAAATACCATACCAGTAATGGATCTTCTGTGATCTTGATCTGCAGCGTAGTCTGAATCCACAAAACCCTTTATCACAAATTCACCCTTGTTCTTGTAGCACAACCTAGTTTCGACTGTACCTCTGATGTATCTTAAGACCCATTTCACTGCTTGCCAATGATTCTTGATAGCTTTACTCATAAAGCGGCTTACTAATCCCACTGGATAAGCCAAGTCTGGCCTGGTGCCAACCATAGAATACATGATGCTTCCCACAGCATTCTGATAAGGGACTTTCTGCATGTATTCCTCCTGATCTTGGAACTCTTCTTCGGGTGCTGATCGCAGCTTGAAGTGTACTCCCATTGGAGTAGAGACCGGTTTTGCCTGGTCCATGTTATAGCTCGACAACACTTTCATCAAATACCCTTCTTGCGATATCCAAAGACCTCCTTGCACTCGATCTCTCACAATCTCCATTCCTAGAATCTTTTTAGCATCCCCCAAATCCTTCATCTCAAACTCTGTATTTAACAACACCTTGAGTTTGGTGACCTGATCCTTATCCACAGATGCCACAAGAATATCATCTACATACAAAAGAAGGTATATGTAGATTCCATTCTCAAACCGTTTGAAATAGACACACTGGTCGTGCTCACTTCGGTTGTACCCATTCTTAGTCATGAAATCATCGAACCGTAGATTCCATTGTCTTGGAGATTGCTTGAGGCCGTACAAAGACCTTTTTAATTGACACACCTTATTCGGAAACCTCTTGTCCACATACCCTTCTGGCTGTTCCATCACTATAAACTCATCTAAGTAACCATGAAGGAATGCCGTCTTGACGTCTAGCTGTTGAAGTTCCATGTCGTAATGCACAACTGCAGATAACAAGTATCAGATTGATACATGTTTAACTACGGGTGCGAATATCTCTTTGTAGTCTATGCCTTCTTTCTGAGACAAGCCCTTAGCAACCAACCTTGCTTTAAACCTTGGAGCTTCAACACCTGCAATTCCCGGTTTCCTCTTAAAAATCCATTTACATCCTATAGCCTTTTGTTTCTCTGGTCTGTCCACCAAATCCCATGTATGATTTTTCGTTAATGAAAGCATCTCTTCATCAGCTGCTTCCTTCCACTTGTCACTATCAGAATCATTCATAGCTTCTTGGAAAGAAGACGGTTCTGAACTCCCATCTTCGGACATGGCACAAATAAACCCTGCAAATTCATCTTCTCCATCTGTTTCATCACACTGATAGTCTTCATACCGAGCTGGTCTCACTACCTGTCTTCTTGTGCGATCTCTAGCAAGCTGATAGTCACTCAAACTTTGATCATTTAGTATTGGTTCAGCTCCACCTTGAGGAGTAATCATTTGATCCATGACTTCACTAGCTCCACCTTGAGAAGTATCCTTAATAGCTTCGGGTATCTCAGATACCTCAACTGTTCCCGTTCTGGATCCACTTGAATCTTCGTCATTTACAGGAGCTAGTTTAATATCCTTATAAACCTGATCCTCTCTAAAGACAACATTCCGACTGATTACCACCTTTTGGTCATCCAATAACCAGACTTTGAAGCCTTTTACCCCTTCAGGATAACCAGTAAAGACTCCCTTCTTTGCCCGAGGGTTCAGTTTCCCATCATCTGAGTGAACATATGCCAGACACCCGAATCTTCTAAGTCCCTCTAAGCTTGGCATGACAGAAGTCCACATCTCCTCAGGAACTTTGAACTCCAAAGCTGATGAGGGAGAACGGTTTATCAAGTATACTGCAGTGGCTGCAGCCTCAGCCCAAAAACGCTGACTCAAGCCACTTTCACTAAGCATACTGCGCACCTTATTCATGATACTCCTATTCAGCCTCTCTGCAACACCGTTCTGTTGCGGTGTATAGGTACAGGTGCGGTGCCTCACTATGCCCTCATCTTTACAGAACTGATCAAAGACCTGATTGTAAAACTCCAAGCCATTATCCGTTCGAAGCTTCTTGACCTTTCTTTCGGTTTGAGTTTCTACCATCTTTTTCCATTCAACGAAGCTTCTGAATGCTTCATCTTTTGATCTTAGAAAGTATATCCAAGCCTTCCTAGTATAGTCATCTGTGAATGAGATGAAATACTGTCTTCTACTTAAGCTCATGGGAACATTTGGTGAACCCCATAAGTCCGAATGAATGTAATCCAGTTTATCCTTTGTTACATGTTTCGCAGAGCCAAAACTCACTTTGTGTGACTTCCCAATGACACAATCCTCGCAGAACTTTACTTCTGTTACTTTGTTATTTTCGAAACATCCTTTCTTAGACAGAACTTCAAAGCCTTTCTGTCCAATGTGTCCCATACGACTGTGCCAAAGTTGAGCTATATCTTCATCTTTTGTTGAGGTGACCCTGGTGCTAGACATAGCTTCAGAATTTGAAGCCACTAGAGCTTTGCCTTGAAGAATATACAGAGAATGTCTCCTGACTCCTTTCATGAACACCACACAGCCCAATACAAACTTTAATACTCCATTTTCCCCCCTAAACTGACATCCTTTCTCTTCAAGAGAGCCCAATGACATCAAGTTCCTTGAGATACCAGGCATATATCTGACATCATGGAGTATAAATGTTGTACCATCTGGATTCTGAAATCTCATTGAGCCGATGCCTTTAACTTCTGAGGTAGAGTTGTTTGCCATTCTAACTCTTCCATTGTCCAGCTCCTTCATGTCGATAAAGAGATCCCTTCTTGGAGACATATGGAATGAACAACCAGTATCCATTATCCATTCTTCCTGGTCCGATTCACTTGAGCTGAGATTTACCTCTGATACTAGAAGACCAACCAAGTCTTTAGCATCATCCCTGACCATTGCTGATTCACCTGAACCTTGAGCTTTATCTTTATTCCTTTCCAACCATTTATAACACTGTTTCTTGAAATGGCCTTCTTTCCCACAGATCCAACACACTCTCTTTCCTTCTTTAGACTTAGATCTTGACCGGCTTCTTCCTTTTCCTGGTTGACCATTGTATCCAGACCTAGTTTCCGATCTGCCTCTGACATAATGACCTTCTCCAACATTCTTAGAGCTAGGGGCATCTCTAAATTCCATCTCCTTAGACCTAGCCGCACTAGCAACATCCTCTAAACCTATAGCATCTCTACTATATTTTAGAGTTTCCTTTAGAGAATCATACCTGTTTGGCAGAGAATTGAGAAGAAGAATCGCCTGAACTTCCTCTGGTATCTCGATGCTGAGATTGTTCAGGTCCGCAATCAGCTTCAGGAAGTCGTCCACGTTCTGGTCGATGGTTCTTGTATCTTGCATCTTGAATGAGTAGACCTTGAGCTGCGAGTGAACTCTGTTTGGCAAAGTCTTTGCCATATACAACTTATCAAGAGTCTCCCAGGCTTGAGCCGACGACGTACACTTATCGAGCTTCCTCAACACGTGATCTCCAACACACATGAAGATCAGATTCAGTGCCTTCTCATCTCGAGCCAACCACTCGGCTTCTTCCTTGTCTTTTCTTTTCTTCGCATCTTGATCCAGATCTTCATCTATCTCGATGACTGGCACTTGTTTCTCCGTTAGAACATCCTTTAGTCCTTGGACCGTGAGGTTTGCTAACATTCGCTTCTTCCAGATCGTGAAATCGCCCGATCCGTCGAACATACTGACCTCGATTCTCTGAGTCGTCGTGGTCGCCATTTTTCACCGGATACGACGATACACCAATAACCTGGCGCTCTGATACCAATTTGTGAAGATTATCGGCTTAATCTTCTTCTTATGTTCCGATTAAGAACTCAATCCTTTGAGAATCGATTTAACGAGAAAGAGATGTAAAGAACTTAAGAAAGAAAGAACACGAGATTTTAGGAGTTCACGTCTTTAACCGGAACGCTACGTCTCCCCGGTGAAGATCCACCGGAATCCACTATCAATACGGCAAACTCGCCGGAGTCATTTACAGATCGTCTCTCTCTCTCTTCCCTCTCTCTCTCTGTAACGGCTAGTTGACTAAACAAAACTTTTCGTCAACACCCAAGAAGGAAGACGAGCTTTATATCCAGCTCATAATACAAACGACGTATCAGAGATCGACACCTGTCTAAGTGGATCTAACTTAAGACTCTCTCTTTTCACTAGAGTCTTTCCCACACTTAAGCTATATTAGCTAAAATAAGTGTTCTTTACTCGATTCCACATAAACTTGTGAAGATCGCTTGATGATCATGTCTACACACTTCAGTAGGTTTACTAATTGGATAACCAGTCATGTTTCCCTTGAAGATGAGTGAACAAGGCCCGTTTATATTCTCAATTGCTTCTGAGTCTCAGGAATGACAAATAGTGTCAGGCCCATTTTCTGAATGAATGGATATTTTCCAATAAATTATGTCATCAAAAAATAAAGAATTTAAACAACCACTTCATGTTTTATATCCAAATCCACAAAGAGTTTTAATTCTGGTGCCGGCAACAAAGCACCAAAGCGAATATTATTGCAAGTCGGATAGTTTTTATTTTGGTCAATACCATGCATTCGATGATCTGTAGGTAAACTGAAAGTTACAGGTCCAAATACAATTTGATTGAAACAAAGGGTATATTCTTGCAATCTTGTCGTCACAGGTCATCAAACTCTAATATTCTATGGTTCAAACGACAGTAAGTTCCTATACGACTAATATAAGAATGTCAAGGCTAGAAAGAATTTTATTACTGAATTAATAAGTACATTCAAATGAAGTCAAGAGAATACGTATACAGAGAATGTGCGCGCGTCGAGAAGAATCTTATTGTGGAGAATATATATATATATATATAATATACATATATATTATGTTAATTTATCAAGTTTATAACTTTATATATATGTGTGTATATATATATATATATATAGGTTTTACGATTTGAATCTCCCAAAATTTCCAACACTGTAGTTGATGTCGGCGAAACTGTATTTTGTAAGAGTGCAACAAAGTGTTTCCTTAACATAAAAAAGAGCACCAAATTGTTTCTACAATTACATAGTTGATGACAACACTTCTTATTTCTTAAGCAAACATTAAATCCACGAACCTTAAAATCTGTTGTCACCAAATAAATAGCTCATTAGCTAAATAAATAAACATCCCGGCGATCCCGCACGTAAACATCGAATCTCTTCATGATTAAATACTAGGATGATACTAATAGAACACACACATGCAGTTGGTTGCAATATGCTCTTATTCTCAGCCAAAAAAAAATGCTCTTAATTATTCTCTTCGAAAGTGACATAAATAAAGTGAATTTGATAGATATTTTTTTTCGGAGTATATTTTGAATCTTGAATATCACATATCTGTCAAGTAAGTTTACAAAAATATTCGAGTTCACTGGTTCTTACATTTTATTATTATTATTATTATTATTATTTTAAATGAATAGTCTGCACTTCGTTTGTGTATTTTGAAGTGCTAATTTCAATCTTTTTATTCTTTTTTTTTTGTTAAAGGGCCTTCAATTCAATCTTTTTATTCTAAAACTCATGTACCTTTATTTTTTCCCTATAAATGATAAAGTAAAAATCAAACGAAAAAAAGACCGGGGAACATCTTATTATTAGCCAATTGCTGTTACATAAAAGGTAACTCATTGGAGACGCACGAAAACATACAGAGACAAAGAGTTTGATGCATATAAGGAGGTACAAGAATACCAAAACCTTTGTACAACAAAATTGTACGTAAGATTCATGAAGGAAAACAACCGAAAAAAACGAAAAAGAAAAGAAAAGCATATAAATAGCGATGTTCAAATGACTTGCATGGATCATCGGTAGTCACAATTATTTGTGCTTGGATCTCCGGTAAAATACGTATATCCGTAGCGATCAGTCAATGATGTTGCGGGTCAGGTCCTCCCGGTGAAACCCTCGCTGAGTCCACTAAAAACCGCCTCTCATTATGACCTTTGAACTTGGAGAGATCGAACCCAAGCTCACGTAGGAGAACCTGACTATTCATATTGCCCATGTTTGCGACACGATCTGCATGGAGGATTCGAGCTTGAGTGCTCATGATTGGTGATGTAAATATGATTAGAAGTATGATAAGAGCTTGCTTAAGAACTATATTCGCCATAAAAGGTGATTAAGGAGAAGAAAGGTAAATTGTGGGGTTTGTAAGAGATTGAAAGAGAGAGAGGGAGATATGCAAAATGCGATGAAGTTGAGAGAGCGAGTATAATTCTGTGCATTGAGATTTTTCTATTTATAGATAATTAGAGACACGAACTATGAGGAACATGTTTTAGGATTGAGTAGTTTGGGTCAGTGGAGAGAACATGATGGGATCCACAACAAAGATTAAAGCCAAAACCAACTCATGTATTTGGATTATAAAACTCATGCACGAACACAAAAAACCGTTAATTACGATATATATTGGTTATTCAACTGATCTAACGATCGAAATTCTCAGGTGGAAATCTATATTTTAGGGACCATCAAGAATTTACTTTACATGCATATATAGTTGATTAAGAATTTTAAAAGTTCGACATAAGGTTTACTAGGATAATATATAATTTTCAACTAACCCAGATTCTCATGCGAGACTACTCCAAGGTTGTAGCCATATAGTTATAGGCTAGTGTGTGGATATGTTTATTAATTTTATTTATTATGGATTTTCTTTAATCTGTTTCACAACAATCGAATTTATTATCGTAGGTCTACTAGGATTCAAATTTATATAAGAAACGCAACCTATTTTATTTTATTTTAGTTTAATAAAAAGGAAACCATTTATTTTCCAAAAAAAGAAAACAAAACGGTACATTTTATTTGGTTTTAGTTTGCCATATACTGTATATAGTAATGTTCTTCATGCATTTATAGTAATGTTTTATAGTGTCAAACCATCAATCTAGAAGAACCATATTTATAGCTGTGCAAGTTATATACTGTAATGTTCAAAACAAAGGCGAATAAGTTATTTGTTAATTAGATTATTAAACAATTCATATTCTTAAAACTATGTGATGGGTCATATATGCTGGCAGAAAAAAGAAACTATAAACATTTCCGAATAAGTCAAAAATACTTTCACTAATATCTTCATTGGGTTAAGTTGCAGATTTTTTTAAACATAGCAGATTACGACATTTCCGAGATTTCAAAATTTTCTGTACTTAGGGTATTTGTTAATTTCAAATCATTTAATTTCCTGTTTTTGTTTTCATTGCCTAAGATATTGAAATTATTCAAGATGTTAGTTTATGCATGGCTTTAATTTTTTCAGAAAGTGAGAAAAAATGGGGGTAAGCAGTTACGTTTAGCGCTAGTTACGTTATTGCATAAGGTTGCATTTCATATAGATTTCCTTCCGTAATAATTAAGTTTTCACTATATATATATATATATATATGTGTGTGAATTCGAATTTAACGGAAACGGTAACGCACTCTTTATTTAACGGAAAAAAAATGTTGATATGAATATTTGAAGTTGCTGATAAGTTCTCATAATGGAGAAACGTGGAAAAGAAAAGTTATATAAATAGGACACGAAGAAACATTTGTTCTGTCGGACCACGTCGAAAAGGAACACAAGTGACAAAATGGGGGCGGTATTGTTTTCCTTTTTTTGTTTTTAGTTAAACTTTTTTTTCATGTTCCATCAATGTGACAAAATATTTTTTTTTTTTTCATCTGAAAGATTATATAGATATCACAGAGTTTTCAAAAGTTTACAATAACGGATTCTGGAAGAAACCAAATGCTACCAAACGAGTATGAAGGCTTAATCCTATAAACGAGCATGTGACAAAATATTAAAGGGGTAATTTGTTATATAAAAAATTGGACGATACAACCTAATCTGTTAAAAGACACAACAAAATTGGACGATGCAACCTCACCGTGACGGATTTAGACACAAATTTAGTTGGGGGCATAAATATATAAACAATAGGAAAAAAAATTAGTTGGGAGTAAAATTATATTTTACCATTAAATTAAAAATATTTAATTGAATTTATTTACATAATTATAATTAAGAAAAAAATAAAAAGAGTAGGGGGCATGTGACCCCCTTTTAACTCACTACCTCCGATATAATCATCGCTGGTCGAAATATGTAATGTATGAGAAAATACGTTCCCTAATACGTTCCCTAACTTAAAATTTACGGTGAAACTATAGAAAGAATTATCGCAATTCTTTGGTTAGTAATGTTATACTAAATAATAATTGTAGGTCATAAGGTCGACAAATTTACGTATTGCCCACATGTCGGACCGACTTAGATATATCCACATGCTCATTAGGTCCCAACAGTTTTTATATATTGCCACTTTTATTCGGTTATAAAATTATATAACTGACAAAGAAAAAGTAACCAACGGCGACAAAAGTATGTCTGGATTATTTTAAGGGTAATGTGACATAATAGAATAATCCGAGAAGAATTATATCAATAATCATAACATAGTTTAAGATGGTGGCTGGAGAAAAGCCACCTGTGTAGCTGCGTGACTAGATTACAAGTCAGTAAATTTGATACTCTTATATTCGGTTATTCTCTTAGGTACTACTAGAGGTAGAGATTAAAAGGTTCTTACAAACTGATATCCATCAACAAATAACAAAAACATTTGTTTACATAAGTGCATTTTTTCACACTTTATGTTTTTCAAACAAATAATATCCTTAAGGATATTGGTGAAATTCAGTTATCTACCACACAGCAAAAAAAATAATAACAAAACCGAAAAATAATTTCCGGAAAACTATTAAAATTAATATTTTCTGATTTTTTATAACATTTTTCTGAATTTGTATTTATGGAAAAATCAAAGAACAATAGAGAATATTATAATAATATAAAAAAACTGTGGTTTCTATACATTATATTTTGTATATTTTTAAAGTGTTCACATCAGCATCATTTAAAAAATATAAATTCTAAATATTTATTTATTATATACTTATATTTATTACTATCTCTCAAATTTATACTATTGAAATTTAAAACTTATCCCGATTAAAAATTTAGAATATGATACTAAAGTTAATAACTCAATTAATTTATATATTTGAAATAATAATTCTTTTTTTATTTACAGAAAAGAAAAAAAACATTAACACTAAAAGTAATGATTTAGTTCATTACACACTTTTATATTTATTATTTTTTATACAGAATAAAAGTAAAACTGGAAAAAAATAAAAGTTTAGAGCAAGGTAGTACGAAGAAAAAAAAATCAAAATATAAAGAAAATAACACAAAAAAAAGATGAAGTAAAAGAAGAATAATACATATATCAGATAAGTAAAATAAGAAACGAAACAAAATCAGCAAAAGAAGATGAAAAAAATCGAACAAAAAATAAGAAGAAAAAGTAGAAATCGAAGATGATGAAAATGAAGATTGAAAAAATAAAAAATAAATAAGAGGAGAAATATTCAGAAAATACAAAGATAAAAATGTTGAAGATAAAGATGAAGAAAAAGAGACCGGAAAATGAAGAATGAGACTAAATAATAAAAATAACAAATTAAGAGAATATGAAAATAATAAAGGAGTCAAAAAAATTAAGAAATATAAAAAGAAAAAAGAAACATATATATGATGAATTATTATGATGAATAGTAATAACATCTGTTTAAGAATAAAATCCCGCGCAACGCACAGGCTAGAAATCTTGTATCACTAAGGAATGAATATTGAGGCTTTACAAAAAGTTAGACCTATACACTTGCTATCTTGGTAAAAAAGAATAAAACACAAGAAACAAGAAGTTAGGAGAGTTACTTCCTTCAATTTAGCCAAAGAGGCATAAGGTTCGTGAACTGCCGTCGATGTCTTCTGGCTGAGATAGAGTTGTTAACCGTGCTGTTGATAAGCTTGAACCATTGCTGGGGAACAGTCTGCAACTTTTTAATGAGACCTTTACTTGTTCAGTATCAACACAATTAATGTCACATAGTGATTGCCACAATTCATGTTTGTTCAAAAGATAATTTGTAGTAAACCTCTTCATCACAAATCCATTTAACATTACCCTGAAAATATGTGTGATCTTTCGTTTAATAAATTCATAACATCTATGTGTATATATATATATATATTAAAGAAAATATGAGAAATGTAATGATCTGGTGAACAAATATAACTTTTGTGGTATGTATGACATTGACATGTCGTCGGTTCCTCCTTGCTACAAGCGGAAACTGAAAGATATATCTTTGTGTTATATACGGATTGTATCATTGCCAAAATTGGACGAAATGGTGAGCTAAAATCAAAGTGATTATCAAAGAAGGCTACTGTTGGAGGAAATTGATATTTGTGGGAGTCAAATGTTAATTCAGGTCCCATCTCTCTTTTGAGTTACGTCTGCTGATGAAACAAAGTGCTACATTTTCTTGAAGATGTTTCTTTCTATAATTTTATACAATAATATATATAGTTTATTGTCATAAGAATAATTTTTGATGAATAGGAAAGCATATGCATGAAAGTGACAATGTCCCTTCAAAAACCTTATCTATCCCTTCCAAAACCTAAGAAGACACCTAAGTACTAAATATATTCCAATGATTCAATTCTAATTAGCCATTTTGTCAATAAAAATTAATTTATTTTTTACGTATTTACATATAAAATTATTTGAAATGCATATAGGCGTTAAACAAGGAAAATTTGGTGAGTTATATATATATATATATATATATATATTATACGATTGTTTTGATCATTTGGTTTTAGTGCGCCAAAATTATGAGCTTGTTATGGATTTGGATGAAAACTCGGATAAACTGTAGGGCATAGAGGGAAGAAGAAGAAGAATTGAGGCAAAATTTCTTTAGTTTAGAGTTTTTGTATAATAAATTACACATATTATAGATATAAGCTCTAAAACTTGATGCCAAAATAGATAGAAAAATGTAAAAATATTTCTGTTTTCATTATACGCCCCCAAATCCTGACATATCTCCGCTCACTCAAAGTAAAGCTCTTAGCAGTATATATTAGATATAGGTCAACAAAAACAGGCTGCATTTTTATTTTGTGATCTAGTTGTCAAGACCGTAAGATCAACAACCAATCAAGTTGTTTTAACAAAAGTCGATGAGAGCAATAAACAGAACATATCGGTCCAAAACAATTCCAACTAGTTGAATATGTACCGTCT